ATGGGTTGGAGTCTTGAACGAGCATATCATAGCCTTTGATAAGAGTATTTCCAACAATTAAGGTCGTCTTTCATTGGTTGTTGACCAAATGACATCGCTTCCCGTTATCTCCAACGGTGCCTGATGACTCAGGCAGAACCATGGTTGACTCACCCACACCGGATAAACTCTCGGTCCGGACCACCCATTTATGATCGGCGTCGGGAACAAAAAAGGCACGCTTTGCCCCTCAGCAGCGGCGTTTCGTATATCTGTCTGTCTGATTTTCACAACATTGGAAAATCTCATTCTTGCCAACGATGGCGTCAGCAGGAGAGACTACCCTTCCCGAGCGACCAAAGGAGGCAGCTCCTCCTGCAGAGCAGAGTCCCGCCCCCGCAGGCGAAAAGCCCGCTGAAGAGAAGCCCGCCAAAGCACCCAAGCAGAAAGCTCCCAAGCAGAAGGCACCCAAGAACCCCGACGGCAAGAATAACAACAACAACAACAGTGGCAAGAAGGGAGGCGGCAAGCCCAAGGCCACCAATGCCAAAGAGGCCGCGATCGATCTGCGCTCTGTCGACCCCGAGGCCATGTTCAAGGTCGGCTTCCTCGCAGATGTATACCAGGAACGGCCCATCTCCGAGAAACACCCCAAGATCCGGACCCGGTTCCCTCCTGAGCCCAACGGCTTCCTGCACATCGGCCACAGCAAGGCGATTGCGGTCAATTTCGGGTTCGCAAAGTACCATGGCGGCGAATGCATCCTGCGCTTCGATGACACGAACCCCGAGGGTGAGGAGGAGATGTACTATCGCGGTATTGAGGATATTGTGAGCTGGTTGGGATACAAGCCTGTCCGGGTTACTAATGCTAGTGACAACTTCGACCGACTGTATGAGCTTGCGAAGGAACTTATCCGACGAGATGGTGCCTATGTGTGCCACTGCACCAAGGCTGAGATCAAGGCCCAGCGTGGCGAGGCGGATGGTGAGCGGGGCAAGGCGAGATATGCGTGCCCTCACCGGTCGCGTCCTATTGAGGAGTCGCTGCAGGAGTTTGAGGCTATGAAGGAGGGCAAGTACAAGGCGGGAGAGGCTGCGCTGCGTATGAAGATGGATTTGGACGATCCTAACCCTCAGATGTGGGATATCTTCGCGTGGCGTATTCTGGACGTCGATCAGAAGGGCCACTTCCGCACTGGTGGCCAGTGGAAGATGTATCCTACTTACGACTTTGCGCACCCTCTCTGTGACAGCATCGAGGAGATTACACACTCCCTTTGCACGGTTGAGTTCGAGATGTCACGGCAGTCTTATGAGTGGCTCAACGACAAGCTGGATGTTTACCGGCCGATGCAGCGTGAGTACGGTCGCCTGAATCTTACAGGGACTGTGCTATCGAAGCGTAAGATTATTGAGCTGGTCAAGAAGGGTTATGTGCGGGGATGGGACGATCCTCGCCTCTACACGCTGATTGCCATCCGCAGACGCGGTATTCCTCCTGGCGCCATTCTCTCCTTCGTCAACAACCTCGGTGTCACCAAGGCTACTGCCATCGTCCAGACGGCCAAGCTTGACCAGATTGTCCGGCAGTACCTGGAGACTACCGTGCCACGTCTGATGGTTGTTCTCGAGCCCCTCAAGGTTGTCATCTCGAACCTGCCCGACGGCTATGAGGAGATGGTGGAGGTTCCCTTCTCCAAGGACCCTGCTTTCGGCTCCCATCTCGTGCCTTTCACCAAGACTGTCTACATTGAGCGCAGTGACTTCCGCGAGGAGGACTCGCCCGACTACTTCCGCCTTACTCCCGGAAAGACCGTTGGTCTTCTGAAGGTGCCTTTCCCTATCACCGCCACCGCCTTTGACAAGGACCCTCAGACCGGCGCGGTTACCTGCGTCTACGCACATTACGAAAAGCCCGAAGAAGGCTCTGACGCCCCTGCCAAGAAGACGAAGACGTATATCCACTGGGTTGGCGAGTCGGCCGCCCACAAGAGCCCCGTCAAGGCCGAAGTTCGCGCGTTCAACTCCCTCTTCAAGTCCAACGACCCCAGCGCCCATCCTGACGGATTCCTGGCCGATATCAACCCTGATTCCGAGGAGATCTATGAGGGCGCCTATATCGACATTGGATTCCACGATGTCTCCAAGTCGGCTCCCTGGCCCAAGACGAGTGGTGAGACCGGGGGCGAAGTGAACCCCTATTCCATTCGATTCCAGGGTATGCGGACCGCATACTTCTGTGTGGATACGGATTCGACGGCGGACAAGGTGGTCTTGAATCGCATCGTCACTTTGAAGGACACTCAGGGTAAAACCTGAACACATAGTTTCTGAATGAGAAAATGTCTGCTTACATTTGTGTACCGTTTGGTATCTCTCGGTGTTGCGTGCATATCTTCAGTATGATTAATGTGGTACATGTGGTCATGAGCATAAGGAGCTTTGTCATGTTAGAGGCGAATCTGTTGAGGTATTCTGCACTTACCTGAAATAATGGCATTTAGCATAGATCCTCATTTGCTTTGGGTAGTCACGATTCTAGACATCGTGTTCATCTGTACGCTTCGAGCTCTGGAATCAAATCCATAAGCGAGTGGATAGTCTTGTTACCTTGCGTGTGATGAGCGGGGCCCCGAGGAAGATAGTACCCATCCCATCCAGCATTCAAGGCAGCCTGATAGTCCTTGTCAAAGTCATCACCAACATGGACACAGACCCAGTTGTCACCCGACTCGCCCTCGTCCCCAAGCAACCGCCGAGCCTGCCTCCTCGCCACGTCGAAGATAACCCGACTTGGCTTCTCCTCTCCCGCCTCGTAGCTGGTAATCACCAGATCGACATCATCCACTTGATCTACCGTAGACGCATTCTTGCGGTTGGCATCTCTCTCCTCAAACCCAGGCAACCGCATACTCTCAACCCCCTGATCAGCCCGCACATCGCCAACGCTCAACCCCAACGCCCTCAGCACCGCCGGAACCCGATCATCCGAATTCGAAATTACACCTATAAGCACGCGCTCAAACGGCCCAAGCCCCCGCCGCCGGCTCTTAACCGCCCTCACCACCGCAAGAAATGGCGCCACATCGTCGAAAAGCGCATACCCCTCGCTACCCGCAAAGCGATCTAGAAGATGCGACACCAGCGCATCTGGCACGGCGACGTCGGCGCCACTGCTGCTGCTGCTGCTGCTGGCCCTGCCGCCCTGTTCCCTAGATGTCAACACCTGCGCGAAACTCCCCCGGATAACCTCCTCCCACCACTGCCGTGGCCCGCCATACCGGCCGCGCAGGACCTCCTCCCGGCCGTAGTTTGGGCGTGTCTGCGACTGTTTCTTGAACGTTGATTTGAAGGCTGTTTTGAGGCGGTCGGGGGTGATGGTTGAGCGGGGGAGGCCGAAGGCATGCGCGGCCTCGGCGTATTGGTCTGGGACGGGGCGGCGGGGGTGGAAGACTGTGCCGAAGGCGTCGAGGGTTAGGAGGAGAGTTCGGGGTTTGCGATGGCTCATTTTTCTTCTTTTTGGCTTGGAATTGGTTGGGGAAGTGTTGTTGTTTGGGTTGGTGATGGTGATGGTGAGATAACTAACGTAATTCCCGGGCGAGCCGTCGAGCCGTCCACCCGTCCAGTTTTAACGCGTTTACGCCTTCGAAGCTATCCAAATCAACCATAACAATATATTTTTACTAGATCTAGCTAGTATGGCGTGTACGGCATCTAACTCTCGTATGCCCTATAATAAAGCAATTTGAACACCTTGGTGGCGCGCGTTTTGGTGTTTCTAAAGGTAAAGGTGCAGAATCAATGGATGAACCCCCATCTCGCTCATTTCTTGCCTGGATAAGATCCCTAGCTTCCTGGACAGTGAGTCCTTCATTAGGAGTCATCTGGCGTCTAGATCTCTTCGATTCCTGCTTCTCCTTCTCAAGGGCTGCGCGTAGATCACGATTTTCCTTCGCTAGTAGGGCGGCACTATGCATAATCATCTCGCAACCCTTGATAAGCTGCTGGATAGCTAATTTTGAAGTCGTCGAAGGGCTTTGAGATCGTTGTTTTAGGAGCTTCTTGACTGAGGATGCTTGCTTTTGTGATTGCCGAAGTGTATGAGGCGTAGCAAGCCATGATTCTTCCTGCGTAGGAGATAGCTGGTGACTATTGGCGCGTTTTTCAATTCGACATTGGCATCCATTCAGTCGGCCTTGGAGGGTAGATCTAGGCACATTGAATATCTCTGCGGCGCGGCGAATGCTTGAAATTTCATTCTTTTTCAAAGCTGATATTGCTAGTTGGATTCTTCCCTCTTGCTCCACCCATTTTCCAGGGGTTTGTCGCGGTTTTGATGGCATGGTAGCTGTTTGGATAGCTTCGAAGGTGTAAACGCGTTGACATTACGGCTTGCCTGAGAATTACGTTGACGAGTTAACTAGTTAACTAGTTAGTTATACTACAGCATGACTAAGCAGATAGTGGGAGATAACTAACTACCCCATTGAGCAACTCCGATATGATAAATCCCCAGTTATAGCAACAGATACAGTGGACTAATACTGGTTTATTCTACGCAATCCTTCAATATAGGCAACTAAGGATGCCTGCTGAATTCGCCCTGTTACTCTACTGCTGATCGAAAGGTGTATGGTTGCTTAGTAAGGTGGTAGATCACCTGATTCTCTGCTGGTATAAATTCATGGTGCTCCGTACGGGGGATGATGTCGGTATGCGGCCTTCTGATTACCGCAAGAGGCCGGCAAGATGAGTCCAACAAGTTCAACAGTGTTGGCATCAGCTGCGATAGCTTTCATATCATACGACTGAAGCAAAAGAGACGGCGAAAGGAGGCCAGAGAAACACGGCGCCGTAGGCAGCTGCTGACGCGTCGTCGCCCTATTTCCGCTCGTAGCGCTGGGAAGATGCCGCAATCTGAGAGTTCCACTTCCGACAAGCCCGTTTTTCCTTTAAAAGGATCATAAGATCGATTATTCGTCATGGTCAGGTCGTGTTTTTTGGGATTAATGTTTCGAGATGATGAGTTACGTGGGTGTTCTGCTCCTGGCCAGTCTGGCAACAGCCTTGTCCACCGTCCAATTCCCTGACAATGCCAATCACATATTCAACGCAATCCATTCCTCAATGAGACAATGGGGCTCGTCCCTCCATCATAATGGCATGTCCTTTTTCCTCGCATCCGTGCCTGCAGGCACCCAGCTGTATCACGGCACACACCAGTGTGATCGAGTGAATGAGACAGAATGGCTCGCCTTTGAACCCGAACACGCGATGGTCTTTGCGACGTTCGGACAAGGTCGTAGACCTCCATCTGGCGGTCCTGACAGTCCTGGTTCTGATGACCCACGCGGCTCTTCGGCCCAAAAGCTCCTGGGACTGATTGGCGAGACGGAAAATGACTCCGAACCTGAAGGCTGGCTGCATACGTACGCGGCTGCCAAGGACTTGCGGCTTGTGTATATCGACGGAATGTCCGCTGCCAAGTCCTCGAACGGGACGCTCGACTCTCAGGATCGCATTTTGCTGCGGGATGCGCTGGATGACGGAAACGGGGACCCGATGCGCGACGAAAAGCGGCGCGTGGAGACGATTTGCCGGATGGCGAGGGAGGAATGGGAGGATCGGATTGACGGGGTGATTCGTATGGAGGCTGGGTTTGAGATCATCTTATGTGATTTCGCTCGCGATTTGGACCTGCTGCATGTGGTGCGGGTGAAACTCGACGGTAATGGCCCGGGGGCTGGGCCTGGACGCGAGCCTGGCCGGGGCAAAGAGATGGGAAAGGGGCCTGGCGGAACGGCTGGACCGAACCAGTGGGTGAAGGCCATTGCGGCCCGGTACGATGGGATTGGGGGACGCAGGGTAGCGTTGAACTACGATCACTTTGTCACGGCATACACCTACGGCTTGGACCTTTTCGCCTCAGCGGAGGGAGGCCGTAGTCTACCACGACTGCAACACCTGTCGTCTGCTGACCTGGATCCTATCCGCATGGATTTACACCGATTGATCATGACTCATGACACGAACGAGTCTTCATTCGACTGGCAGGCCGTCACGGACATGGTGATTGAGCGGTATGCACACGAGCTGCGGTACCTGGCTTCTGGGGAGCTCTCGACCACGGAGCAGCTGCATGCGGAGCTGGAAATCATCCTTAGCCCATTTATCGACTACAGCGACCGGAACATCACCCTCGAGGTAGATCGATGTAGTGCGCAGTTTCTGTCTGCGCGCAGTCCGGCAAAAGGTGTAGCTGCACATGCTGTCCGGTCCGTTGCTCGGACAATCTGCTCGACTTTGCTGGAGGCGTGGGGCCAGACAGACTACGGACTGGCAGTGAACCAAATTAACGATCTAATGGAGTATCTGTCATGGACGACCTGGAAGGGATGCAGTGGATGCGGCGACCATGAGATCTGTGTTATTCCTATCTGGCCGATGGGTACAGTGGAGGATTACGAGCATCCGCGGTGCCGCGATGCGAGTCAACCATACAGGGAGGGCTCTAGATATTGGGGACGTATTCGGCCTAGATAGGTCACGTTATATAACCCTTTGGTCCGTGTGGTTACTTGGACTTTGAGGCTATATAGTTTATGTTATGACAATTAACACTATAGTAATGCCGAGTGTATACATCCTAAATGACAGACTGACGGAATTCCCGAGTAAGGAATCAAAGTATATCCGAGAATCGGACTGGATTTCTACTTAGGGCTCTATCCCCGAGAAAACTGCTGCTGTCAATCTGTTGAAGGATGAATAAGAAAAATTCCCCCCGTGGGGGACATTTGCCGGCGTGGGGAAGAGGATAAGATTTCCTGCTTCCTGCACTGACTACCGACTGCAAAGTATCAAAGAACGAATAAGAGTTAGTTCAGAACCGAGATCTAGCAGGGAATCACCAATTACCACGGAGTATTCTGCCAGAGAGATCCATAATGACCAGACTTAAGCCTGTGGGATGTGGGACTGTGGGAGTTTCCCCGGAAAAGTCTTCAACCGGCCCATCATCATCAATGCCAAAGTCAAGCTATGGATGGGCCTGAACACGAGGTCTTTATTTAAGATATCAAACTCGCTCGAGACGTCTCTATTGTCGCAAAGTGTTCGGTTATCATCACCTGAGTGTCTCTTCACCTAATCTGCACATCAACCATGGCGCAGACACCTCAGGATCTCAGAATCGCCATCATCGGCGCAGGTATTTAACCTTGCACCTGAGCAAGAATTCCTCGGAAGTTGAGGCTAATGACGACAGGTATGGGCGGATTGACCTGTGCGCTGGCGCTGGCCAAAGAAGGATTCAAGCACATCGACGTCTTCGAGTACGCTGCCGACCTGGGTTTCGTTGGAGCAGGCATCCAACTGGCCCCCAACATGGCCCGCGTGCTGGACCGCTTGGGCGTGTGGAAGGAGATCGAGGCCGAGGCTGTAGAGATCAAGGACACAAGTGTGCGGGGTATGACTTAGTTTCATATTGCATGCTCTGCTAGTGCTTACTGACCGGGACCAGTTGGCGCTACTGATTCTGAGCTCGCGCACGTTCAACTCGGCTACATCCGCGACACATACGGATACCCTCACATGGTCGGCCACCGGCACTCGCTGGCCAACGGCCTGTACAACGGCTGCCTGCGCTACCCCGATCAAATCAAGTTCCACTTCTCCACAGCCGCTGAGAACGTCACCTCGTTCGGCCCGCGTGCAACGTTTACAGCCGTCCCCCGCGACGGCAGCGCCCCCTACCATGTCGAAGCGGATGTCCTGCTCGCCGCCGACGGCATCAAGTCCAAGACGCGCGTCGCGATGCTGCAAAAGCTCGGCATCACCGCCGCCGTCAAAGACACACACCAGGCCGCCTACCGCATCATGATCCACAGGGACCAATGCAAGGACGACCCAGAGCTGCAAGCACTCATCAACAGCAACCGGGTAACACGCTGGATCGGCGAGCGCCGCCACATCATCGCCTACCCGGTCTCCAACAACACCATCTACAACCTCTCCACCACCCAGCCGGACACCAACTTCGCCGCCGCCACCAACGCAACCTACACCACCAAGGGCTCCAAGGCCGCCATGCTCCGCGTCTTCGCCGACTTCTGCCCCCTCGTCCAGCGCATGCTCAACTACGTCCCCGAAGGCGACGTCTGCGAGTGGAAGCTGCGCGTCCACGAACCCCTCCCCACTTGGGTCCACGAACAGACCGCCCTCGTCGGCGACGCCTGCCATCCCACCCTGCCGCATCTCGCGCAGGGCGCCGCGCAGGCTATCGAAGACGGCGCGACGATCGCTATCGCCCTGCGCCGCATGCCGGACCCCTCGCCGGAGAGCATCACCAAGGCGCTGAAGGTGTATGAGAGTGTGCGCAAGGACAGGGCATATGCGCTTGTCGAGCTGGCGGCTGCGTCGGGGAGGGCGCTGCATCTGGGTGAGGGCGCGGCCAAGGAAGAGCGCGACAGGCAGTTTGCGGCGCTGAGGCAGGGGAAGGGTCCCGTGCCGGATAAGTGGGCGGATGCGGATGTGCAGCGCGAGATCTATGGGTTTGATTGTCAGAAGGTGACGGAGGAGCGGTTTGATGAGTATTTTGCGTAAGCATACTCTTTTTCTTCTTTCTCTCTGGCAGAGTTGATCATATATGTGTTGTATATAGTTGCTGATGCGGATAGACCGTAGACATCCCTCTCGCGACGCCAAGCTGGCATGAATATCATGATATGATGAAATTAGATTTCCTGCCATTTTTGTCTATATCCAATCTTCTATCCTATCTACTCAGCCTCAGTCCAGCATCGAGCTAATCCCTTATCTTGGTTCGCTGCGTGACTGGAGTCTGGCTGTACCTGTCTGGCCAATTTGTGCCCTAATCGGGAATTCAGGCTATACAGCGGCCCTCGGCCGTCGGCTGTCGTGTCGGCCACGCCAGAGTGTATCATTCACCGTATATTCGTCCGCGAACCCTCGCACACAAGACTAATATCACTGCCATGAATATAGCCGATTATGCAAAGAAATCCTTACCTATAAAATTATCATATGGGTTATCGTTACACCGTCATTCCTGGAGACCTTGGAAACAGCAACGTAGTCACGAGAATGGTCTATATAAATAGCTCAATCCCACCCCACGTCGACCTATATCCACCATATATCCCAAATAAACTTTTTAAGGCACCTATGCAAGCATGTCCTAAGTGTCCCGACCTCGTTCGGTGCTGCGCTTCCTACAGGAAAAGGAAAAGATACATAAGATTCCAAAGGATGATTCCTGCTCGGACTTACGCTGGTAGTACGGTGACTCTATCACTTGATTAAACCAAGGAAGGGAAGCTGATGGTACAGAACAGCTCCTACGGGGTAAGTACGGAGTTTCGCCGGTTGTTCTTGTCGAGGACGAGACGAGATGCTATGCGGATGCAGCCGCTGATATGATCAGGATATGTTATGTGGGTTTATTTCAATTGCTAAGGATGTCTGTGTGCTATTCAATTTCATTATTCAATCCAACTCCAATGTATGCTGCCTGGCTAAACATAACAGACGCAGATAAACAAGATAACAGATCGTGGACAGGCCGTTAACACATCGCGCATCACACGGTCAAATAAGCAAAGGACAGATAGCAAACCATGGTGTATGCCGCGAGCATGTAGAAACGCTTGTAGGTCTTGCGGTCGTAAGCTGCTTTCCCCCAGCTGAATGCGCATCGAAGGCCCGAAAGAGACGCAAAGACGACATGCAGTATTGCGGTGATGACGGTGCCAGTGTATATCCAAGGCTTGTTGAGAAACTCCTTGTCTTGACCGTCCCAAAAGAGCTTGCCAGTAATAAGCAAAGGCATTATTCCAGTCCCCATGACCAAAAAAGCAGTTGCCCAGCGTAGAGCTCCATGCCATCTGGGGCCAACAATGACTGGCAACGTCTGGCGGTTCATCTTCTTATCTCCCTCGCTATCATGGAATTCTTGCATATGAACGGTCAGCATGACCCATGCTGAGAGGACAAGGTAAAAGTCGATCGGCGGCAGAGGAAAGGACGGAACCTCGCTGTAGATAATCTTGTCGATCAGCCGGAACATGTTGTAGACTCCCACGGAGGCGAAGGCATTGCGGAACATAAAGTGGTTGATCTTTGGCCAGACATAACAGAAGCACGTCCAGAGCTGGTACCAGATAAAGAGGCAACCAGCCTGGGAGCCCACGAGGTAATATGCTAGAAGCGGACAGACAATCCAGCTGATTGCCCAACGCTTGCGACCACCGGCGACTGTGAGCAGACGAGAGGGAATAGGACGTTGAGGTTTGTTTATTCTGTCTTCCTCGACGGAGGTGACTTGGTTGACAATCTCGAAGACATAGAGATGGCAGATAAAGAGGAAGACAGTCTTTAAGAGAACGGACAAGAGCTGTAGCCAAGGGGTGCTGTCAAGTAGACTAGGAGTAGGCAGGAAGCGAGCCAGCATGCCAACGACAGGTAGAACAAGTCCCTCACCGGCGTTGGCATAAAGGAGCCGCCAGGTAACCAGCAGCTCCTGATGAACTCCTGTGACAGGGCGTTTTTCCTGCATTCGGGCGCGAACTGCTCTGTGCTCTTCTTCAGAATTGGAACGCTGGGAAAGAGAACATAGTGGGTGTAAATGCAGTTTGGCTGAACGGTGCAAATATAAAGAGCCCCGGTACTATCAATTACGAGATGGCCTGTGGTTACTATAACAGGGGAGTACCGGTATATAGGCTGACTATGGTGGATATCACGCTGGCAGTGAATGGTGCGAAACCCATGGCGACCTTGATATAAGGCCAGCTCTGGTCAGTTCTACTCCGACCGGGAAACCCGAATGAAGCAACGAGACATTCCTGTATCCTGCCATATCAAAATTATGTGGTCCCTCTATATCCAAACATCATTATCTGCAGGACAGAAATGGTCTGTTTTGGGTATCTTTGACGTCTAGGGGTAGGCCAGCTCGAGAACGATTGGATACCAGCTTCAAAGTCGGCTGTTTTTGGACAGTGGATCATTGGCACTGCAGAAAAAAACAGCCATCCATTCCATCCCTTTTGCCCATTAAAATCCTACAAACCAGCATGCTCCTGCAATGTATGTCTGTAACCGGAGAGTGGAGGGGTTGCCGTTCTGCAGTTCTGCGGTCTGCACGAGGAGCAATTTGGAAACCGTCAAAGTTAGGCCGTACTTTAGCCCGCCGCTAGGCGTCGTTGACACGCTTAGGTGCAGCTGGTGGTGTCCTGCGTAACCCGGCCTGCAGAAACTGAATCCTCTGCCTTGGAACTGGGTCAGAAAAGGGTTGCCTTGATGCATATCCGACCACACATGTCCCGCTATTATTCAGTTTTTGGATGCATCGGTGTTCATTGCAGACCTTCAACCGATAGGTTCGATGAACAATAGCTGAGCAAATATAGTTGGTCTGACCAACAATTTGCAAGCATCATTCTACGTTCACAGAACATGCTTCCGCACTGCGTGGCTAAAGGATTCGAACCAAACCCGTGGGAAGGTATCAAGGCGTTGCGTTGCGCTGACAAGTCATCCAACCCCATCTGTCGAAGATCTTAGGCTGATTATGGCAAGTAACAGTCGTGGCCAGTAATGACTGGCTGTTAATATGGATGGAAAGTATCAACGTGATATCCAAGCACAAATGGGCTAAGGAGGGCTTACCCAATTGAGTAACACCTCCACCATGGGTGATCACAGTCGTCTGCAATAAGGCACCCTCCATAACCGGCCCCTTGGCACCGGGATTTGGATTTTCGAATATTCTGGACGCTAGGAGACTACTAAGACTCCAAGAGAAGGAGACACCGACGTCGTAGCCTCGCAAAGGTACGTTATCCGCACGTTCTGCAGAGCACGTCCATCTGCACGTACCATGAACGGGTTAACCCCCTATGCAGCGGTGAATGGTTTTGTGCAGGGAGTAATGCAGCAACAATGCTCGTTTTGACGCACTGAACTCCGTTGCTTTCAGTTGTTTCTTGATTTGACGTCATGTCGAGTCCCCTCTTCTGAAGGCCCACTCAGTACTTTAGTACCAACAGCGATGGCATGGGTCTACAGACCCCGGACGAACTCCGGACGAACCCCGGACGATATAAATGCGTCTCTTGGATCACTTTTCTCCTCGTCCAATTTCTGCCGACTATATCCAATAGGCCAGGTTAGACTTCGAGCCTTGTTAACCCTCCTAAGCGTCCCGAAGAAGGGACCCGATGTTTCCATTATTTTGGGTCGTGCCATACTCGCAGCTCATCTTCGCACAGTCTGCTTGCTAGCCCCGCTGCAAATCCTCCAATGAGACACTGCACAAAATCTGATAACAAGCTGATGCTGAATGATTTGTCTGCGCCGGTTGCAAAAGCTTATAGGTGAGTCTAGAATGCTGGATGTGTACTAGTAGAGTAAGGGCTGGGAAAAGCCTGATATCCAGCGGGAATTTAATGCTATCAGGGCAGCCGTAACGAGAGCGTCGTCATATCGTGGGTCCCACTAATGCGGACTCCGATATCAATTGAGGAGTTGGTAGGCATCTAAGCTGTGAGAATCTAGAAGAGGAACTTGTGCAAAGTCCGACCTTCACAATTCAAACTTTGCGTGACAAGTCAATGGTCAACACGGCTCTAGGGCCATACGCTTTTGCCGTTATATTGCCTTTCGAGTAAAGCAAAGTCTGAATTGTGTGCAATAAGACAGGACGCTGAATGTCCTCACGCCTGCGGATTCGGTCCGAATGACTCTCTCCCCGCAGCGTAAGGTTGTCACGGCACGAAGCCATGCAACCTTCTGGCACAAAATCTGAGCTAATTTCTGACGAATAATCTCGAGTACCAGATGTCTGATTCGCGGTGCGTATTCCGGGATGTCGAATGCTGAGAGACACTGTGATGGAGGAGCCAAGGGGCAATTGACGAAAGAGTTAGGAACACATTCAGTCAATCAGGCAGCAAGATATTTACCTGCCTGTTCAGGCATGCTTTTCTTTATTTAGCTGGAGCTCCTCTGATGCCGAGTTCCATGTCATTGTTATCGCCTCGTGAGAGGTGGAGAGTTTGTGATATACTTTGATTTATATCTGCTGACTCTGTCATTCCCTGTCCAGTCATAGACGTACTTGTCTTCAGACAAGCAAGACGATGGAGACTCTGCCTTTGAGTGGTAATATCTTCTGTGAACTCTCTTGAGAGAATGTGAGAAGTTTGGTTTAGCAGAATCAGTATCTCAGGGAAAATACATTTGTGTTGGTGCCTCAGGTGTAACTGTATGCCTGAAGCCTTATCGCTCGGCATCGGCCGTCGCGCATCGCCAAATGAGATCATCTCGGTGTGATGCACCACAAGATCATTTAAGGATATATCGCAATTTCCAAGAATATTGAAGCTACTCTGTAGCTCGTACATTCGTTTAAATGCCCGTAGGAGTAAGATGATTCGGTACGCCTCATTAAGGCTTGCTTCAGCTAACGGTTCCTCAGACGCCTTCTCCGTTCCGTTTTCCCCCGCGTCCGGGTTCATCTGCTCGACCTAGTGCTGCATCTCAATTTGCATACACTCCTCGCTTTTTGTTATCACAGAAGCCGACTGACCCGGAAAAAGCAAAAGCAAACGATGGGATCAACACTAGTGATACGGAGGAGTCACCGCGATCAACTCCTCTCTCCACGGCACGTGTCGCGCCGCAGCAAAGAGGACGAGAATTAATTGAGGACTTCCAAGATGATGCGACTCATCTCTTCAACTCCGGGCTGAGAAAGGCCGTCGATGATATATCTGATAGTGAGACAAACCACACATCTCCGCCGGAGGGTGCCGGCGATGTTGATGCCGCTTTTGAGGCACTCTTCGGGCCGACTACAGTGGATCGCAGGAAGAGACGCCGTATATCACTGGACGAAGAACCATCTACGACTCAACCCGCAAGGCACAACGCAGACATGACTCTGACTTCTTCGCCGGAGGCTTCAGCGCTTATGGCAGATCCACCTTCATCGCCGATCCCCTTCCGTACTCCAAAGAAGAATACTCCGACAGCAGCTTCGCGGAGGACCGTAGCTGCTGCACAGCAAACGCCTAGGCCTGCGACTCCGGCAAGTACAGCACCATTCCGTGACCATCCACGCTTCAAGATGTTTCAACCAGCATTGAGCAGTCAGTCGCAATTCACCCCAAGACCGACGGCAGTATCTGCGTCACAATTACCGACTGCTGGCTGCCAAAGACAGAAGCCAGTCTTTGTCCTTCCTCGCTCCCCGTCTCCATCACGAATGGACGATGAATCAATGATTCCAACACCATTCTCCCCTTCCTCCCATGCTCTTCGTCGGCGAGGCCGTCCCCGATCCAGCACTGCAAACTACCTACCCGGCGGCATGGCCTCGGACGTCCGCAGTTGGATCCTGGAAATGGGAACCAAAAGCGAACAGATGCAGAAGAGCCTAAATGCTTATTCTAGGAGGCACCAGACCCAAGGTCCCCCTGATATAAGCCAGTATTACCTTGTTCTTCGCATCCTTGACGTTCGGCAGTCTGCGCTGGGCAGCTCTGGTCCAGTGGCTTATATACACGGCGTAGAAGTGACTCTTCCCTATGAGTCAGAAAGTGCGACCTCGCAGTCAAGGAGAGTTCTCCTTCTTGGACCGTCTAGGCCAGCTAGCTTGCAGTCCTCCCGTGCAAGAACTCAAGTTCCTGAGCTTCGCACTGGTCATCTGGTCGGAGTGTTTCGGACTCTGGTCTGGGAGGTTGGCTTGGAACAGGCGCATCTAGAGGGCAATGTGCCGAGTGAAGAAACGCAAGAGAACGAAGAGCATGTGAGCAGCCTTGGGCGCAATACAAGTACTGAGCATCTGGAGAAATGGCTCGTCGGGATGGAATGGGAACTGATCGACCAGGGTTGAGTCAGTCGCATGTACGCTTCGCTTTACTTGCTTTGATGATACCCTTGTTTACTATCAGCGACTTCCAATTACTTTGTTTGGGCTGGACATCCCTGTACAAAAGGCCAATATTATGATCAGTTTTTGGTCATCTATGGACTCATGCAATGCTTTTCTTTATCCGGACCAGACACCATGCTCCAAAGTAGGCCAATAACCTCCAGAGAGAATATGAATATATACAAGAGGGTGTCGCATGCAATCACCCAAGACTAACATCTTCATTCGCCACAACCTTCAAAGCATCCACAGCGACCCTGCATCCCCACCGAACCAACTTCTGCTCCCTCTCAGACTCTACAATATCTGTTTTCGAGACTACCTTTCGTATGAAATAGATCAACCCCTTGACGATCTGCGGTGTGTCCCGCGCGCGCAGGAAGATCTCCATCAGAGGCTTCTCATTCCTCTCGGCTTCCTCCTCCTGGTCCGCCTTCTTGCCCTTTTTCTTACCCTGTTTCGATTTCTGAGACTGCTGGATGATGGTGATGATAAGGATCTCAAGGAAGGCCTTTGTCTTGGGCTGAAGGTAGGCGAAGTTGAGCGTTTTCAGCACGCTCAGCGTCAGTGCACCGTCGGCAACGAGGCTGGCGTACATCTTGGCGAGGTTGACGGCAGATTTCATCGAGAGCTGGTTGCGCTCGTCGTTGTCGTCGCCGAACCCGGCATCCTCATCGTCGTCGTCCATGTCGTCTGATTCGCCCATTCGCTTGAAGCCGTTCCACAGGGTATACATGAAGGAGACTTTCATGCGGCGGCCCATTTCGCCGCAGAGCCGCCGTGCAATCAGCGTGTAGTAGGGGTTGTATGCCTCCTCTTCCATGGCGCAGTGAGTGAGGACGCGGGGAATTTCGAATTCCTGTGCACGTTTCAGTCGAAGTTTCATCAGTCGGACGTGGGCATCTTGGTAGTCTGTTGCGGACATGATGGCGACAAAGATGGAGCGGCGAATATCGGTGTTCATGCGGTGTGCCTTTGCAATGCTGGCCAGGTCGGGCTCGCCCTCGCTGTCTTCTTCCTGGACAGCAGCTTTGTTGTCCTGCGGTAGGTTGGCTAGCTCCTGACGAGCGGACACAAGAGGATCTTCCTTCCAGCTTGCACCGACAAGCCACCACTTGCCCTTCTTGGAGGCATTGTGAATGTCCTCTCGTGAAATACTGATGGGCTCCGAGGCGCGGAGGACTCGGGAGTTGTTCAGAGAGCCTAGGATCTTTCGCATCTTGGTAATATGTTCCGAGGTCACACTTGAGCCGGGTGCCGATTTTAGACGGTTGTTCTTGAGATCGGTGATAGTGTCGATCATGAATTTTGTCCGGACTGACAGCGATTCTTCGCCGACCTTTGCTACGGCAGGTTGGATCAGGAGAACGATGTCTTTCAAGGAGGACGGGTCATCTTGTCGGAGCTGGGGCCCAGAGTCTAATTCGGTCAGTAACACATTCTTAGGCAAAGGAGGTTTGATAACGTACTTCGGATGATTTTGAGTAGTAACTCTGTGCTCTCCTCGTTGATCTCTTGCAGGAACAGCCGGATATAGTCGAACACCAAGGTGCTTCCGACGACGTGAAAGTTATAAAGTTGCGAGAGTAAAGCGATTAAGTTGATCATTTCCTTTCCCTGGAACTTGCCACGCTCATCCCCGGCTGCGTCGAATGTTTCAACCAGCTTCTGAACAAGCTCAGCGCCAAAGTCAGGCCCAATAACTTTGTAGAGCGCAGCGATGAAGCCCGCATGTAGGATGATAAATGTATCCTGCAGAGCGGATCCTTCGCATACAAGACCGAATAGCAGCGTCAAAAGCGTAGAAGTGACGTTTTGTCGGGGATGTTCACGATAGAGCTTCTCAAATTCGCCAAGGATAGAGATAAGATTGGCTTCCGACAGCTTGTTCAAATGTCCTTGAGCCTGACGCCTCAGTCTCGTAAGTGACTCGGATTCAGACGAAGAGGTTGCTCGTAGTGACGGAGGAATATATTTGCCGGGTTTGTTCTCGGCAGATGGAGCGACAGGTGCAACGTATGGATTTTCTCGTTTCTTTGCGGCAGGCTTCTCTTCCTCCTCGTCTTCGTCTTCATCTTCATCCATATCGTCAAAGTCATCGTCGTCGTCAAAATCTCCAAGCTCCTCGTCACTTCCCAGATCGCTGTCGTCCTCCTCCGAATCGTCCTCTGGCGCAAGACCTTGCGCCTTCCTTCTCTTGTTCTTCAGCCATTCGTCGGCCTCTCGTTTGCGCTTTCGACTTTCGTCTTCGGACCCATCACCCAAGTCCCCCAGCAAGTCGAGCAGTCCGTCCTCTTCGAATGACTTTGGTAGCTTTTTTCCCTTCTTCAATCCCAGCTTTTTCTCCAGCGCCGCAATTTCAGCAGCATCTTCGTCAAGCTTGTCTTTCACGGCCTGAGAAACCTTGCGGGGCTTTACGCTGGAGGTATCTGCGGCATCCTCCGACTCGGACTCCTCAACTCCCTTCTGATTCTTCTTGAGTATCGACTTGGGCTTCGGTTCGGGTTTCGCAGATTTTGACTTTGACGCCGGTCCATCTTCGTCTAAATCCGAATCAAAATCTGACTCGTTTCCAAAATCTGCAAGATCCTCGTCATCATCATCGTCCTCGGCCTCATATTGTCGAGCTTTCGATTTCGGAGGAGGCCCCCGTTTCTTCTCTGTCCGTTCCGCTTGACGTCGGTCTTTTCGCGATCCAGGTCCGTTCCGTTTATGCTTCTTTTCGCCGTAGTGATCTTTGATCCCCAGTTCGGCGCGAAGCGTCCGGGGTAAAGACGTAGTATTGTGTTTTGGCCTGGGTCGTCTCATCTCCGCGACAAATATACTAATTGATTATTATCGTTGGCTATCGCAAAATAAATGTCCGCTGGTAATTTTTATGCCGTCGCAAAAAAAAGTTGCGGAGCGGAGGCGGCACTCAGCAAAGGCGGTGTGGGCTAGGTTGCGGAGATTTGTCTCCCCACCATGACAGCGTAGCGCGAAGGTCGAGATCGCAGCTAGACATTGGACAGCTGGAGAGAGATACTGATAGGCAAAATCTCATTGAGACTAGATCTGATACTTACCTACACGTTGCAACAGCAGGTCCTTGCTGAGTACTCTCATCTGTCACATCGCACAAAACATCCCGCACCTTTGAGCAGACATCCCAGCATATCGCAAACACGATGGCACAACACCTCGGTCACGAAGAGGTAGGAATTCACTAACTGCACCTTACATTCCTATACAGAATAGTCTATATTGAACCGCAGCTAATCCAGCCCAGTTCTTCTCTTCCCTCTCCGACCTCCTCTCCAAAACATCCCAAAAAGCCCGCGGCTCAGTCTTCCTCACCCAAAAGCCCCTCCTCCCAAACAACACCAACACCAACACATCAGAGAAGGCTTCTTCTTCATCATCTCTTCCTCCCATCCTCATCAGAGCGACAGACGGAAACACAAACGCACCGAATCCCAAGACAGCCAAAGACCAGAACCAGAAGGCCGCAAAGACATCCAAGATCAAGCTTTCGACTGTAGTCGCGCAGGAGGATCTCGAGACGTTCTTTGCGCGGTATGCTGAGGTTTGCAAGGCGGGTATGACGGGGCTGAAGAAGCGGGATCGGAAGAAGGGAAAGGCGAAAGCGAAAAGTGGTGCTTCGAAGGTTACCAAGGCTTGACCTGGGGTTTGATTGTTTGTGATGCGGCTGAAGTTGAGGACTTGCATTTATGGCGTTAATTCTGGCTTCTCTCTATATCCTCTTGCAATAGATCTTGTTGCAGTACTTGTGGTATGTAAAGGCACCTTAATTGTCATGGCATATGGTTTGCTGGCGGTCTTAACCCAGTCTGCCTTGTCCAGTATCGATGCTTCATCTGCGCAATTCAATGGAAACGGGTATATTGACAATCGATGATACACGCTAAAGGTACAGGTTTCATTAGGGAGTACATATCCAATGCGAGACTTGATCCACCCAAGAGTCTTACGATCGCCCAGGAACAGACAGGAAACAGTAAGGAAAATTCATACAAGAGGAGTCATTAGAGAACAAGAATGCGCTGCGCCCAAGCAGGAACGCCTGAATGAGAAATGAAAGGGCATTAAAACACAGTATTGAAAAAATAGGCAAGAGAAAGATACCAGGGAAAGACGATGGAAGGTGGATTATGAAATAGTTAGTCCAGATCCCAGGGATCGAGTTTCTTCGTAACATCCGATCCTGTTGCTGTTCGACGGTCAGGCGCAATTGGGATATCATAGTCATCCACGGCTTCTTGAGAATTGGTGGCATGATATTCCAGTTTTCGGCTGAAATCGCCCATCGCTGAGTTGAGAGCTGGGCCTAGGACAATTCTCGCCGCAATGTGAATCAACAATATGAACAATTGCACTGGAGGCACCAGGACAAGAGTGGCGGTCTTCTGGATGATGGAGGCCGCATCTTGCTTTTCCGGCGGACTACTACTGACCAGAATGGACGATGGTGGCATTGGCGATATCTCTCGTTCTCGCGACGCTTTGGAGCGCCGACGAAATTCGATGCTCATGTCGCTCAGATTCCTTGCAAGGTCAGTCTCAGCGCTCGAGGAGACGTCCAGGAACGACGTGGAACTCGACCCTGAGGACTGGCCTATCGGTGAAGTCTCAGCCTGAGAAGCCGTGCTATTGATGCGTTCTGCTGCTGAAGGGAATTTCTTGTCGGACGAATCCGCCAGATGAAATGCCATGTCTTCCGCCAAACATTCTTGTTGATCCGGCAATTTGTCCGGACAAGCGACTGACAACGGCGATGCGGTTGTCAATGGGGAATGGATCTCAGCGGCAGGAGATGGTAGGATTTCGATCGAGTGGAATGACTCGATACTTGAGGAGTAGGACATGTCAGGATCAACCTGCAGGTCGGAGGCCTCCTCGAACCTTGCCAGCAAGGTTTCGAAGCTATGTTGTGTTTCCGCCACGGAGCTTGTGGGAAGAGGCAGCGCCCCGGGATTGGTGACTGAAGATGGCGCCTCCTCCTCATCATCAGGGACCGTCTCCAGAATTGTGCTATTACTGTCTTTCGTGGTGAAGCCGCTATCGTCGGTTGTATTTCCATCCGTATCTTCCCCAGCGCTTGCATTAGGCAAAGTCAAGTTTTCCGCTGCGGACGCGTTTTCCAATACCGACATCGATCGAACGGGGGCACTTTCTCTTCGCCCCTTTGGGCGCCAGGCCCGCTTCCTCCTCGGAGCTTTCGCTTCTTCGGGTATCTCAACAGTAAAACCTCTTTTGAAGGGGCATGGCGTTACTTCATATCGCAAAAGTTTAGAAAGCGCCTCTTTCATAGCCGCTACTAGCTTCTTATCTTCCTCAGTCTCATTCGGAAGTTCGATGCGATAATATGTGAGAGGCCGTATGCGCAGAACAAACGTTGACTCCCCATCCACACACCAACACTGAGAGTTTTTGAGTATTGCATGAACGACACTCCCACACTTCAGAAAGACAGTCAGGCCATGCACCTTCTCAAGCCTCAGAGGCGCACAGGCAACTGTTCGCTCAGTCGCCGATCGCCATGGAAGTGTTTCGATAGTGTCAACCGGGTAATCGAAATCGGCGGGAGCGGTACTCGAGGGTATAGGCGCAAGCGCTCTGGGGGAGAAATGCACTATCTTCGCAGACGGGTGGAAGAACAGGTCATTTTCGGAGGCTGTAGTGCGTAAAAACTCGGAGCTGGGCTGCTTCCGGGGATGTAGTTTGGTCGGCAGGGTAGCAGATCGACGGACAGACTGGATGTGAGCGGGGAGTACATCCGAGGACTCGGGCATATTGATAGCAGAAGAAACGACCGATAAAACAGTTACATTGAAAAGCAGTAGCAGAAGGGTGAATTATAAAGCTAAATAGAGAGGTATGGTGTAGGGAAGACAAGGAATGACTATGTAACCAAGGAGAGTGAAAGAAGGATGGACCCAAGGAACGAACGGCGATGAAGTTATCTCCCGTCAGACGGAAATTATCATCATCATCATCGACATCGGCTGTTGATGATGGTTAACCGATTACCACCACTGAGAAAGCACGGAGTATTATTGTCCTCCCTTGTGATTTGCTTCGGCAGGCGGGGGATGTCGCCTGAGGCATCTGAAGCCACATGAACGGGTGGGTCCGCGCGCCTCAGGTTCGGCTTAGTAATGAATTTGCGGCTGGCGTCTAACTGGCCAATCATCAAATGCGATGACGCATTTGCTCAATGTTTCCTGTATTATCTATTTGGTTGCCTGTGTCAGCTTTATTACTGGACTGCATGCTAGCATCACTATGTGGACTACTTCTATTTAAAGGACAATTGTCGCTGGTAGGGAGCCTACTCTGTCTTATCTTTCTCTCATAATAATAACTCAGCTCTCTGGTTTGCTCAACGTCCATCATGTCCAATTTCGAGCCTAATGCCGTCATCCGCGGTTTCCAGCTCACAGTCGTCGGAAGTAAGTGGAAACCGAGCCTTTCGTTTAGTTGTGTCAATCCCTTTTTGGTTGGTCTAGTTCCGAGAAACTTTAGACGATTAACCAAAGAGGTCCAGTGCATGCTCTTGTGAGTTTAGTTCAATGCTAACATCTCTTGAAAGCTGTTCGAGCTCTGCGAAATCCGGAGCTCTTCAAGTATGACCATTTTCGGCAGGCCGCTCTAGCAATAGCTGTTGGAGTAATCATTCACCTGATTATCCAAATTCCGGTGCGTTACTATTGACTCTTTGTTTACCTGGGTTGCCGATTGCTAAGATTTCTTGACTAGATCATCGGTGTCAAGCTTCTCGTCTGGATTGCATCATGGTTCTCCGATCTAGATCGTAGCTCATGGGATGAGTCCATCATGAATGGCCTGAATTTCCTCAACAATTCCGTCCTTCAGGTACCATTCTTACTCATGACTTTAATGCGATACGTTACGCCAACTTTGGATGAGATGTAAGCCTTTTACACCCGTATATTGAAAGGGCCTTTTGCTAATTGCTTAGCTTTATGGAGTCTTTGAAATGGGTTGACTCTACCTACGTTCAGAAGCACAAGGCTGACGACCCAAAAACCCTTCGTGCTATGTACTACCCGCACCTGGCGATGTACTCAACCAAAGGAGCTACTGGTGTCTCAAAGCCGATTCCGGAGGCAATCATTTTGTTTCTACGGCGATATGGGCGCAAGTTCGGGGCGCTCCTAGGACTCTACATGATCTCGCTTCTTCCTGTTGTGGGAAGATTCGTCATGCCTGCAGCCTCCTTTTATACATTCCAAAGCAGCGTGGGAACGACTCCTGCAGCGGTAATCTTCGGAACAGGTCTGGTTCTCCCAAAGAGATTCATTGTCAGGTTCTTGCACACGTACTTTGCATCTCGCAGTCTAATGCGTGAACTGGTGAGTTGTGGTGGCGTCACTGTCATTTTCTGTCTGACATGGCGTATAGCTTGAGCCCTACTTTTGCCGGATCCACTTCACACCAGAACAGAAACGCCGCTGGTTTATGGACCGTCAAGGTGTTCTGTTCGGTTTCGCCTTCGCCTTCACTGTGGTCCTCAAGGCACCCTACATCGGAGTGCTGATGTACGGCGTTGCACAAGCATCGACTGCATACTTGATCACAAAGTTCACAGATCCCCCGCCCAGTCCCGCCGAAAGTGAAGGTTTCGCCGAGAGCCAAGTCACCTGGAAGAACAAGCACGACTTCCTGCGGCTGTCATTGGATAACCTGGACAAACTGAATCTCCCTTTGCAGAATGAGGGGGAAGTGCAGGAGGCAAAAATACCCCAAAGTCCGGGACGGAAGTTCTCTTGAAAAGTCCAGTCTTATAGAGCGGTAAGGTTCGCAGAAGGCACAACGGTTGGGATCAGTGGATCGCTCTCGAGCATAGTGACAGACACCGAGGGCCAATAACCTGAGTGTGAAGGGTAGATCCCCTGTCGTATGTAGGATCCCGCACCGACCATATCTATCACATCGGAGGCTTTCCTGCCATGTTTATCATCTCGATTTCAGAACGATACCTTTCTTGGTTGGATATGATTTGCTGTTACACTGCGGAGACCCGCTGATAAGCGAGATACAGTGATAAGAACGCATTGCTGATACGTAGACATCGCGTAATGCGCTCAGTACAATTTGGAGTAACATCTGCAGATTGGAGTAGCATCTTATCCTACCTATCCTCCCCGCCTGCGGGGTATACTCGATGTCGGATGAAAGGATAGGTTCACAGGACAGTTTCCTCGGTTCCTGAAGCTGACGCGAGGATTCAAAAGGATGTGTTGTTCCTGTGCGATCCTATCAATCTTACTACGCGTGCCCTCCAACCATAATACTACCCTTTTTAGTATATTGCCTATAGGAACGGCTAAGTGACCTCAAAATGGGCGTCAAAGGAATTCGTACGGCTCTCAAAGTCGATCTCGATAAGCCTGCTTGGGAGCAACCGGGCTTACATGTATGTGCTGTCAGAGAGTCCTGAATGTTTACAATACTGACACATCGCTAGAATCGCTGGCATCCAGATGGTACGTCTGCTGGAATGACATCGTCGAAGTACTCCCCTTATTTAGTATGAACATTCTTACAGTGCCGGCCTATGGCAAGGTCGCCAACAACGAAGTGGTCAAGATCGAATGTCTCGATTGGACCGGTGGCCAGATCAAGAACAATGACTCTGCCGACGATATTAAGAACGTCGACCTAACGCAAATCCACTATCTCTCCGGTCCATTTGAGATTGAGACGGCCGAACCCGGAGATGTCCTGCTTGTTGAAATCCAAGACGTCCAGCCGTTCGAGGACCGGCCCTGGGGCTTCACGGGAATCTTCAGTCCCCATAATGGTGGAGGGTTCCTGGACGAGATCTATCCTGAACCGTGCGCTTGTCTTCCCCCTACACTGGACATAACTGACTTCTCTACCCAATAGCGCCAAAGCAATCTGGGACTTCGAGGGAATCTTCTGTTCTTCACGACACATCCCCCACGTGCGGTTCGCAGGCCTCATCCACCCAGGTATTCTGGGTTGCGCTCCCTCAGCCGAGGTCCTCGCCGAGTGGAATCGTCGTGAAGGCGAACTGATCGCCACGAACACCAGGGGCCGCGATGTCGCAAAGCCCCCCGAACCGAAGAATGTCCATGCCGGCAGTGCGGACGAGGACCTCAAAGCCAAGATCGGCAGAGAAGGCGCAAGGACAATCCCCGTTCGTATACACCTTACCCCTAGAATCCCATGGACATGACCTAAGAGACCTGGCTAGGGCCGTCCCGAACACGGAGGAAACTGCGACATCAAGAACCTCTCCCGCGGCTCCAAAGTCTACCTCCCCGTGCACGTCCCAGGGGCCAAATTCTCCGTTGGCGACCTCCACTTCTCGCAGGGCGACGGGGAAATCTCATTCTGCGGCGCCATCGAGATGGCGGGTGTCATAACGCTCAAGTTCACCGTCATCAAAGACGGGATGGCGAAGATGGGGATGAAGTCTCCCATCTTCCACCCGGGCCCTGTGGAACCCCAGTTCGGGCCCGGCCGGTATCTGACGTTCGAAGGGTTCTCCGTTGATGAGCACGGTAAGCAGCATTATCTGGATGCGACGGTTGCGTATCGCCAGACTTGTCTGCGGGTCATTGAGTATCTTCGCCGCTATGGGTACAGTGATTATCAGATCTATCTGCTGTTGAGCTGCGCCCCTGTTCAGGGACATATTGCGGGGCTCGTGGATATTCCTAATGCGTGCACGACGTTGGGAGTGCCGATGGACATTTTCGATTTTGATATCCGGCCTGAGGCAGAGGTGGTGAAGATGGATATGGGAAGCTGTGCCTTTGCCAGCAAGTGACTGTGTTCTACTACATACTAGGTATCCTTTACGCTAGTGTGGTTGTTTTGTTCTCCTGTTGCATCTTCTTTTGGCTTACAGAACGAGACTTACGCAATATATTCCCGTCGAACTCTTCTTTCTTTTCGAGCGCGTTGAGCGGAAGAGTGATTCCCTTCATAACTTTCAAAGTACTGTGGCTAGCTCCAAACATCTTGTCTATACAACTTTTCCTCAAGATATGCTAGACTTCAATGCGGCGAACATGCCGCAAGGTCTATAACTGACCTCTGCTCTCTCCAATCTTGGTCCACTGATCCTCTCCGACTTGCTGAAAATCCATGATCCTGTCAGGCCCGCCGAAGCGATTCTGAGTTGCTCTCCAGTCTCGGTCGACAGCCGTCTCCGGCCTCCATCGAACGACGTCCTTCACCTCCTTCTGTAGTTTACTTTCTAGAGCATCTGCGATAAAGCCGCCGATTGTAGGAATTTGCATGGCGCCATTGCCGGAACCTCCAACTGCGACTAGCAGTGAGGGGTGTTCAGGATGTCTATCGATCAAGAAAGCACGGTCCGGGGTATCAGCATCCCAGCAAATGCGCGCGAAAGACAGTGGCCGGCCAGCCAGATGCGGCATTGTATCACGGAGAAAGTCTCGTGCGCGGGCTTCGGCCTCGAGCGGGATCTGATGCTTTGCGAAGGGGACACTCTTCTCCTGGCCCGGTCTGTCTGGGTCAGAGAGAAAGTTGCAGTACCCTGGATGTTCGTCACAAATCTTGAGCTCGTGTTTATCCTCATCAGGCTCCATGAAGAAGCCTTTGGCGATGTTGAACAGCACGGGAAGGTTCCGGTATTGCTTGACCTCTTCTGGGTCCATCTGAATGTGACAGAGAGTCCACGCGGTAGGCCGAAGCTGCTTCTTGAAGTCTAGGAGACTGTCACTGCCAGCACCTGCCGAAAGAATAGTGCGATGGGCTCTGTGTACGCGACCATCGGCAGTTTTAGCTCCAACGACATCTCCATCCTCGTATACTAACGATACGACATTTCCTTCCGGAGAGCTAGTGACGAATTTGACTCCCAAGCGCTTAGCTTCATTGAAAGCAGAGATCATAGCCTTCTTGGCATGAACCCACCCAGCACCAGACTTGTGCCACCAGCCTTTCCAGCCAGGGAAGTCGCCTGTCAGTACGCCCGGCGGCATGGTCCGGCGGAAGTCCTCGGCTGTCTCCAGCTTGACGAAGTTTGTTTCTGACGGTTCTACCTCGTCTTTTCGTATGTGCTCAATCAGAGCAGGTGTGTGCCCCGATATGATAAAGCCAGTTTCGTGAAAGTAAGGCTGGAAAATCGGGTCAGTTTTCCAGGCTTTTAGAGCAGCTCGCGTGAATGTCGAGAAGGCTGCGCTTCTGGGGTCGGATGAGCCATCTGTCTGACTGTTAGAAGACGGGACATCCTCTTCATATCTTTAGAAAAATCCAGTCGTACCCTTGAGCTCGCTGTGCTCCATAATCTTGTTGATGTCATTGCCTGCTGCGATGGGCGAAGGAACTGGATGAGGGTCGAGAACTGTCACATCTTTGTAGCCTCGACGAGCGAGATGTAGAGCAGTTGAGCAGCCCCATGTGCCTGCTCCGATAATGAGGATGGAAGATTCAGTGGTCAAGTTTGAAGGCGCCATTGTACCAGTTTGAGGCAGTGATTATACTAGCAACGCGGATGGGACGGATGTGAATGAGATACTCATCTGCGAGACTGCGATTGGGAGTGAAGCTGTATTTTAAGGACAGAAATGGGACACACTATCATGCCATATCAATGCAAATCAGAGTGTCGGATCATTCCGAGCTGTCTGCCTCAAAAATGACGCTACTGACAGAGACAGTCCTGTTGTTCGGCTGGTTTTGCCCCGCCTCGGGATTTCTTGAAGCTGCACCGGCTGGACCTTCCTCGTCTCTTGGACACATCCAGAAAGTCTGGGGAAATCATCAAAGATCGTCGCATCTCCGTATCTTTAATCAGACCCATAATAATGGATAAAGAGCCTTGGTCGATATGCTTGATCTGGCTTATCGCCTGACCAACCCTGAGATGAAGGCATTGGTCGAGCTCGCCGAATTGATAACCCCTGTTGCTTGTACACAGACAAGACAATGAAATCGTAAGAATCTCCTCCATCGTTCTGTCTGCTATGCTGTATTTCATTGGATCTTGCTATCTGATTGTCGTTTGGAGCTTCCTCGTTTCAGTCACTTATCGTATCTTCCCCTCTCGTGAGGTCAACGCATAATGACCCACCGCGAGCTTACTTATCTCATTGCATCGGTGGTGTCTCAGAGGTAATATCCCCTAGTCGCCTGCTATCGATTGGCGTACCTTTTCAGGGCTACCGTGAGGGGTATGGGGTGGTATCGAAGGTATTCGGGATCACCATCTCTTAGAACGAGATTGTCATTGGAAAGCTACATGCTGAACCCCTCGGCTCAAGAAGAGTTATTGTAACTCTATCACGAGTCTACCATGCCTGTGAAGGTATTTAAGGGGCATAATTTCCTGTGATGCTCGATATTGGAAGCAATTCTCTTGTGAATGTCAATCTGATACATGATGGCTCGTTCGGATGATGTGTACACTGATGTCCCGGGAACTGTATACCTGGTCGATGGTGATTATCTCATCCTTTGAAATGATATATGGCGATCGACTAATCTTTGTATAGCATCCGCATCTTTAACGGGTGCTGCCCATGCAGGGCAGGATATTCTTCTGATCCCACAGCCTTCATCCTCCCCTGCTGATCCTCTGGTGAGTTTGAGTCGTCTGCCGACTCTAGGTCTGGTACTGATCCCTTGGTTAGAATTGGTCTAGAAGCAAGAAATACTGGTCTCTATTTCTTATCTCTGCCTATGCGTGCGTTAACTCCTTTGGCGAAAACAATTGGGGTGCAGCATGGACAACCATATCCAAGGAGACTGGAGTTACGCTGGAGAACATGAACGGGGGCTCTGCCCTCAACTACCTCCTGCTTGGATTCTTCAATGTGATCTGGATCCCCACAGCAATGAAGCTTGGACGAAAGATTGTTTATATTCTGAGTTTACTCTTCGTTCTCGGCAGCGGTATTTGGGGTGCGTTCTTCGAAGGCACAGCCCAATACTACGCTATGCTTGCTATTGGTGGCATCGGAACGGCCGCATATCAAGCCCTTATTCAATTAACGGTCTGCATTGAGTCCTTATTGATAGGGGTCCTTTCCTTTTGCTGACGATCCGCCCCAGATCTTTGATCTTTTCTTTTCACACGAGCGCGGTAGGATGGTGGCCATCTATATTTTCTTCCAGCAGCTGGGTTCTATCTTGGGCCTGATTCTGGGAGGGTACATCACCGATGGTATCGGCTGGAGATGGAGCCAGCCTATTGTTGCGATTGCATGCGTGAGCCTCGACTGTCCTCACCTTGACCCAAGATATAGGAGCTGACTCCCATCAGGGTATCTTGATCTTGCTATTTATCTTCACTTTCGACGATACAATGTTCCCGAGATACCGATTCGGGAACAGCAGCCCTTCAGCTGCGAAGACTGAGACCTTGACCACACAGGATGACGCACAAATCACCTCTGAGAAGGATCAGAAGCTGGAACCGTCTACATCTGTCGCTGTAAGCCATGGCGCTGGTGAAGTCGACATTCCCCCTCGGACCTATCGCCAGAAAGTCGCCCTGATCCACTACCTCGAAGATGACCAGACGACTTGGTATCAGTACTTCCGTCGCCCGTTTTTCCTCTTTGCGTTTCCGAACATCGTGCTGGCCGGCATTCAATTCGCATTTGGCTGTACAGCCGGCATCATCTCTTTCAACACCATCTCGGAGATCATGACGGAGCCACCATACAACTGGAGTGCAGGCTCAGTAGGCCTACTATTCCTAGCAGCTCTCGTCGGTAACTTCATCGGGTAAGCATACTAAGAGCCTCTTCCAACAAGGGAGTGTCGACAGTCCCAATCTAACAGTGGACCAGCATGGGCATCGGATCCTTCTCAGACTGGATCGTGCTCTTCCTAGCCCGTCGGAACAAAGGCTACAAAGAGCCCGAGATGCGTCTCTGGGCCTACGTCCTTCCAATTATTCTCGCTGCTATCGGCTACTTCACCTACGGCTGGGGCGCCACAGCCGGTGACCACTGGATCTCGATCGCCGTCGGGCTCTGCTGCATGATCGCACAGCAAGTCTCGGCGACGAGTATCGCAACCGCATATGCGATGGAGTGCTTCGACCGGGTAGGTATCCCCCTTCAACAACTTCCCAGACCTCGTTATTCCCATAAGTGAGGCAAGCATCGCATCGTCTGACAAGGTTAGATATCCGGAGAACTCGTCATCGTTCTCGCCATTTGTTCCTCCTGCATCAACTTCGCCATTTCCTTCTCGGTGCAGCATTTCATCGATGCAACGAATTACGGCTGGACGCTTACATTCTTTGGTATCTGGGTGCTTTTGTCCATGCTTATGGCCGGGCCGATGTTGATCTGGGGGAAGAGCTGGAGACGGAGGTGTAAGGGGCGTTATGAGACATTCCTTGCTGAGACTGGACGCTCGGTTTCGTAAATATTCTCTTGGGTTGTCTGCGTTTTGCGGATCAGGTATGAGATATTAGTTCGGTATCGGGAGAATGTGTAATCGTATTCCTCACTTGTTGAATGTCTCTATTGAACCACAGAAAATCTGTATATGATTGTCGGAATATCAGACTCCGGCCGCAAGACGCATATCGCCTCGCAGGACGGGTAGTCGATGGTGATCTACATATACAAAGTTTCAATTTGCGGTTCGCTTCAGAGACCCATATACCCGACCTGTTGTTGGAATTATTTTATTCATACGCTAGTTGAACAATTGCTGGGCGTATCACGCGAGAACGAACACAATGCGCCAATCACCATGCTTCAGAGCTGGTAAACATTGACCGAGAAACCCCCATCAGCTCCTGAGGAACCGCAAGGGAAATGCAATGAGCATCGCCGCTTTTGTGCGCAACTGAAAGGAAAAGAGAATACATAAAATCATGAGTCATTGACAGATGAACCATGACGCCGACGCTTACGAGAAGAACTTCCGAGCGGCGGCCTTCTCCTTGGCTTCACGGTCCTTGATCGCTTTCTTGACCTTGGCGATCTCGTTGAGAATGCCAGCGTCACCGGGGGCCAGCTTCAATGCCTCCTGGAGATCCTTCAGAGCCTCATCTTCCTCCTTCAGACCACTGTAGGCGACAGCGCGGCGATAGTAGGCCTTGGCTTTATCTGCATCCTTGGCGTTGGCGGCGTCGGCGACTTCAAGGGCGTAGGTAGCCCAGTTCTGGGCATTCCTGTATTGACCAAGCTTGTTCGCGAGCAGGGACGAGTTGGAGTGAAGAGTGAAGCGAAGAGATTTCATCTGAGGTTCGAGGTCCTTGGGATCGTTCTCATCGGGATCAGGATATTCGTTCAGGTAGCGCAGGCCCTTCTGGTACTTGTCAAGACCAAGGGCAACGTCGCCGCTCTTGAAAGCAGTGTTGCCAAAGTTCTTCAGCTCGGAAGCGATCTTGAAGCAGACCTGAGCGTTGAGCTCCTCGTCCTGGTGATCATCGGGGTAATCCTCGTAGGGGTCTCCGGTGGCATCGGCAACCTGCTTGGTGGCGTTCTCGTAGTCCTCGCCAGAGAGCTCACCGCAGTCAACGATGGTCACGTCGGTGGTAGGCTTGTCGGCTTGGGTAGGCATGTTCTCGATCTTGCGAACAATACTCTTTCCGTTGATCACCTCGCCGAAGACCACGTGCTTGCCGTCCAGGTGAGGAGTTGGGACAGTAGTGATGAAAAACTGGCTGCCATTGGTGCCGGGACCGGAGTTGGCCATCGAGAGGAGGAAAGGTCTGTCGTGCTTGAGCTCGAAGTTTTCATCGGGGAATTTTTCGCCATAAATGGATTCACCACCGGTTCCATTGAAATTGGTAAAGTCACCACCCTGGATCATAAACTGCTTGATCACACGGTGGAAAATGGATCCTAAGCGCGCGCAACCGTAAGACTCTGAATCGCACCTGAAGAGACAGGATGAAGACCGTACCCTTGTAGCTCAATGGTTTCCCTTGCTTTCCCACGCCCTTCTCGCCTGTACAAAGAGCGCGAAAGTTCTCTGCGGTCTTGGGAACAACTGAGGGGCCGTTAGTACCTCAACGACGAAAACTGGAAACATGTTTCGTACCATCGTTGAACTGCGATTACACAGTCAAACATTAGCTGAGCGGTCCAATTGACGAAAACAGACTGGCAATCTCACCAATTCAAGCGCAACACGGCCAGCCTTCTGGCTGCCAATCTGAATGTCGAAGTAGACACGAGGACGACCTGCGATCTCACCAAGTCAGTAACCCCTCATCCTGAGGTCCAGAACCCCACACTAGACGGGGCAGTACGTACGCTGAGTCTCAGCCATGATTGCGAGCTAGAAGTAGTGCAAGAAATAATGAATGTGCCGAGAGATGACTATGAAAGACGAATAGTAGCAGAGCGAAAGTGTTGTGTCAGAAAGTGAGAGGAGTTAGTGAGGAGAAGCTGAGGAATTGACGGACGAAGTGGGCTGGACCAGCCCTTTTTGCGATGCTTCAAGAAGCTTCCATCGACTCCGCACTCATTCAGTCTGCGGGCAGTAACTAAACAATACAAGACCACTTCTTCCAATTTTAGATGCAGTGAGGGTCCGTTGAGGTTGATTTAGGAAAGAAACTAGCCCGGATCATTATATTATGTGCATTTTGTGAATCTATCTAATATTTACACCCAACCCAAGCAACCAAACACCGTTGCAGCATACAGTATGTTAGGTCATTATTCCAGCAGTGATGCTGGTAGTTCAAACTCAATGGTTTGCGTCTCTCCATCTTTCCGTTCACCCTGCGGCTTATTCTGTCCCTCCGCGGGTTTTTTCTCCTTCGCCAGTTTGGTGTTGATCTCGATTGTGACCTAAAGTTGACGCTCATCGTCAGCACGGCTTGACATTCTCAATCGGAGACGAGGTACGAGGAGGAGCAAAAGCTAACCGCCGCATCCTCACTGCGGTAATCTACACCCACCGGCCCATCATTCTTCAGTTCGACATCCATCATGGCCTGGAAGACACCGTTCTTGACCCGGTCGGGTTTGTACGCTTCGCCCAGCCGGCGGAAGAAGTAATCGTATAGTTTCCGTGCTGTCTCCGCGTCGGCTGCATCGTGAAAGTCTGGTTTGCTGCCTTTCTTCAATTGACCGTAGAGCGTAAATTGTGATACTGCGTCAAAGTGTTAAAGGGCGCATTCGAGGATCTCAGGACGGCCAAACCCACCACAGAGCACCTCTCCCTCAATGTCCTGTACGTTCCTTTTCCACTGAATAGGAAAAGCATAGTTAGCCTCTGGTACGCTCTGTCCCCGGGGTACAGGCTACTCACTTGGCCGCCTTCTTCCGCAGGCCATAATTTGGCCTTCAATATCCGCTGAATGAGAGTGTCTGCGTCCTTTTCGGTATCCTCCTTGCCTACACCAGCAAGAACAAGCAAGCCGCGACCGATTGACGACACGAGTTTCTCGTCTACCGTGACCGACGCAGATTTCACTCTCTGTATGACCGCTACTCATGAATTAGCGGAGAGGGACTTTGCGGACAGAGCAAGGCGCACCTTTCATGTCGAGGTATATCGCGGAGAATTCGCTCGGAATCCGAGGAGAAAAGATATAATCAAGGGAAAACTAACTAGACTAGACTATTGTTAGAATCTATGGTCAAAGCGAAAATATTGCCTTTATGAGGCTTCACAAGCTATGCATCAAAATAGAGACGCATCGGGTAATAGCCGGGAACGGAGATGACATACCTAATTCAAATGTCAAAACAGAGATATCATCAGTTCCTAGGAGCAAGCTCTGATCAAGATTCCTTTGATACAGAGCACTAGAATATATTCAACCCATACAAGAATAACGTAGAGACATTCACGTAGAGTAAGCAGATGCGATAACAGTGGTTTCGCCTCCTCCGCCTTCGATAACCCTCCCGCACATTGCTTGCTGCCCGCCAAACTCACCGCCTTCACCAGGTCTTGACAACTCCGACAAGCACCAGGAGATTCGTTAACATTCCCAGCCTTTTCTGGCATCATCTCCCAGCGCGTCGACTTTCGCATTGTCGCCCAACACCCTTCTCCTCCTTCCCAACTGGAACCGCAGCTTCCAACCCGCCGATCACCTTTCCATATATCCCTAAATCTCCGAAAATTCCCTTTCTCCCCACGGCGATCTGTTCATGTGAACAGCAGCCATGACGTCCCGCAAAACGCAGCAAGAGATCGACAAGACCTTCAAGAAGGTCGCGGAAGGCATACAGACATTTGAGGGCATCTATGAAAAGATCCGCTCAACATCGAATCCTACCCAGCGAGATAAGCTGGAGGAGAACCTGAAACGAGAGATCAAGAAGCTACAGCGATTCCGCGATCAGATCAAGTCATGGGCTTCCGGTAATGAGGTCAAAGACAAAGGGCCGCTGCTCGAGCAGCGCAGAGCAATCGAAACTGTGGGCTAACGATTCCAAACCGACTGACACCGCCTTTCCGGGACATGGGAGAAAGCTAACAGAGGTTGCAGTGTATGGAGCAGTTCAAAGCCGTGGAAAAGGAGATGAAGACCAAAGCGTATTCCAAGGAAGGCCTTTCCGCTGCGTCGCGACTCGATCCCAAAGAAAAAGAAAAACTCGAAGCGTGCGACTTCCTATCGACCTGCGTGGACGAACTTCAACTGAAGATCGAGGCGATGGAGGCCGAAGAGGAGACCCTCCACGTGCAGATGAAGAAGGGCAAGAAGGATATCACCAAGACAAATCGTTTATCGGACCTCTCGCGAATACTGGAGCGACATAAGTGGCACGTCAACAAACTCGAGTTGCTGCTACGAGCCCTTCAGAACGGCGCGGTCGAAACCAGCCAGGTGGTGGATCTGAAGGAGAGTATCAAGTACTACGTGGATGATGGACACAATGTCGATTATTGCGGAGAAGACGAGACACTCTATGACGATCTCAATCTGGGCGAAGATACCGAGGCGCAGTTTGGAATGGTTGGGGACAACGATCGCGTTTCGTCGCAGGACACACAATCGATCCAGGAGGACGAGCCGGAAGTGAAGGCGAAATCGTCGAAAGCTGACGCTAGTGGGCTCCGCCGGCCATCAGCGCAGATGAAGTCACCTTTGCCAGTTCTCGCAACACTTCACCCTCCAACATCCACAAACGCCACCTCTGGCATGAAACCCGCCCCTCCTCCAACTCGTCCCCCCGGCGAGACTCTCAAATACGCGTCAGCAGCGGCTGCCGCAGCAGCGAGCGACAAAAACGGTGTCGGTATTGCCCCTCTGCCCCCACCGCCTGGCACGAGCCCTGCCTATACCGCCGCCATCCCAGTTTCGAGAGCGTCATCCACAGCATCGCCAGTTGTGTCTTCGGTCCAACCAGTATCGAAAGCGGTAGCGACCGCCACCGAAGAGCCTGGTGGACACGGTCGGTCCAAGACTCCAGCTCTCAGCCCCAGCGCGGCGGCGACGCCTGCAGCGGCCAGTGCTTCGAATACGGTGCCCTCTACTCCAGCGATGGATAAGGCGAACGCCGCGGCTGCCAAGGAACAGCCAGCGACAGCCAACGGCGAGACAGCCAAGGAAGATGAGCAGCGTGACGAGTCGATATACCATCTGCCTCCCGGGCTGCAGGATTTGATCCAGTCATTTGAGATCACCAAGAGCCGCGCGGCGAACAGTGCTTCCAGCTCGTCACCGTCGGTCCAGCGGCTGCTCGCAGCATCACTGGCGACTTGCCCGGAGCCTGCCGATGCAGAGAAGCCCCGTCATTACCGACCCTCGAATCCTTACAACACCCCTCTCTACTACCCGCAAGAACCCCTCGCCATATTCGATGATCCTCGTCTGTATGACACTGGACGGATCGATACCGATACGCTTTTCTACTTGTTTTACTACCGTCAGGGAAGCTACCAGCAGTACCTGGCGGCCAAGGCGCTCAAGAACCAGAGCTGGCGCTTCCATAAACAGTACCAGACCTGGTTCCAACGCCATGAGGAGCCGAAGAACATCACCGAGGACTATGAACAGGGTACATATCGATTCTTTGATTACGAGAGTACCTGGTACGTCTCATTCTTCGTTTCTCTGTTTTCTTTGATTTTCAATGCAACAAGCTAATCGAGACTCAGGATGAACCGGCGCAAGGCGGATTTCAAATTTATCTACAAGTATCTGGAGGATGAATTATAAGAAGTGTATCTTGGGTGCATATGGGACGGGCTTTCCTTTTTTCTGCTGGACAGGTGGCGAACATGGATTTTTTGACAGGTTCATCTTCATCTTCACCATCATCTTTGATACTTGTGGTAGTCTTGAATGTCCGCATTAGGCTGGTTGGGTTTTGACTGGTGATGGCGGGAAATATGTGATATTTACTTCATCTATTTCCTGCCCCTGTTTTCCCCCTCCTTGTCTATTTCTTTTCTCACTCATAGTTCTTCTATGGTGGCATCTGTGAACGAGTAAATGAATGGGACAGCAGAACATGGGAGTTCTGCTTATGCTACTTCTGTTCCTAGGTTGGCTGATCCAACAAAGTAAGAAACAACGCAATTCAAGATGCCGAGGAGACGAAAGCTCCAACGCTTGACTCACCGAAGAAGGTTTTCGGCCTCTGTCAAAGCTTAAGATGAATCAATAGCTCCTCTGGGCTGTGAAGCAAGCAGATGACACCCTGGTAGGACCTGGCTGAAGCTTACTCGCTGTTGTCTATCATAACTCCTCTAACCAAGATAAACGTTCCCTGCGTCACAGGAGCGGGGACTGACTATAGTAGACAGGAATATAGTACCTCTTTGCCCCGGTCGTCCAAAAAGACAACTGGCTGACGCAGATCTCTAACCGCCTCACTTGACCACTTCTCGTATTCTCCCATGCAGAACCGCCATAGTTTGCATCCTACTCACAGCAACCAGAGGTGCGGGATTTTTGAACCTGCATCATCACCATCATTGAGGAGCAGCTCGATGCATCAGATGTACCGTGTACGCCTGGGAGCCTTGCAAATCGCCTAGTCCTCAACGGGCTAAGTCAAGACGCTAAAGTAGCCGGGGGCTGTGCGATTGCGTTGTGATCTCCCTTTGGCTTCGTCAAAGTTCAGTCTCAAAGCCCAAGCCCCCGAATCCGACGCCAAACGATCAATTGCAACCGGCTTTCTTGGCGCACCTGTGACTGTTGTCATTGGACAGAATAGGGGATGATTCCTTGCACGGTGGACTTGGACGGGAACAAGCCCACAAGGCTGTCGAATCGCGGGTTTACTGTGGATGGACTGTGGAGGAGGGAACAGTTGTTCTTGGGCCACTTGGTTGACTAGATAGACTGTTAGTCTAGAAGATAGAGCAGAATGATGATGATTGAGATTGTTTCTCCCCGGAAAACGTGCCGACTGCCGAGTTAATTGAATTGATTCAGTGATTGTGATCTCATCGTAGCAGAGAATAATAGTTAATGAATGAGTACGGAGTAGACTAAATGACAAGATCGTTGCCTGAGGGTCAGCTGAGGAACACATGACTCGACAATCCGTACTTTTGCTAGCTCTGTCTGTCACTCTCGTCTTCCAGGGTACTTCCTCTCGGGCTGTCGTTCTTTGCGGGGATTTTACCCTTTGTCACCCATTTTCTAGATACTTTTGTCCAAGTGGTACTGACTAGTACCAGTGCTTTCCCGGTGAACCTCTCAGCGAATCAAATCATCCAATGTCGATGCCCTTCATCGCAGATGATCCTCGAGTCAAACTTACCCAGTAACCACGGCAATCAACTTACTGAAAATGGACAGATCCTACGAACCACGGAGTACGGGTCTAGGTATCTCGAAAGCCTCACGGCCAAAAAGAAATCAGCAGCGGCTCCACAGCACATTCATGTGAAGGAGGGGGAGTGAATGAACGCATCCCGACTGTCTAGTCAGTAGAACGATGATGTTGGCATTGGAGGATCACGCCTATCATCGTCCTCATCGTGTTTGCCAACTGCAGTCGGATGGTGTGGGCTATTCATCCCCGTCCACTGCCTCCAATCACAACTGTCAATCCCACCGCAGGGGAAATCCCAAGAAGCCCCCGCGTTTGACGCTAGAAGGGCCAAAGAAGTTTCCATTGTTCCCCGAGTCTTCTGGCGCCAAACGCTAAGCAGGGTTCTTGCCTGGTGATGATCGACCGCTTCACTCTCCCACAGCACACCCTCCAATCACCGTCCCGCTCGAACGGCTCGATAGTGGCTGAGTGTCGCGATGATAAAACTAGCAGATTAGCCAAATAACTTGGTCAGGTTGGATCATTGGAAATCGACTCTCAGGCCGGTCTCTCCTCTCGTCTTCGCTTACCCCAGCCATCCCATTGGGTCAAATCAGGTACCTTGATTCCCCGTTCAGGTGACGTCGCCCATGACTGGTTTGAACTCATCTAAGAGTCTCTCTTAAATACTTGATGTATAGCCCGCCGCGATGTCGGCTAAGCCATCGATTAGGAGAAATCCAGAACTCGATGCACGTGCGACCACTTGATTTCATGGCTGTCGCATTCGGCTTCTTCTTGCTGTCTTAATTATCATTATAAGAACTTCCAGACCCTTTTCTTTTGTTTCATCTTCGTCTACACCTACACTCTTCGATCATCATGTACTCTCAAATGAACGACAGACTCTACCCTCGGTTCACAGTGGTAACTACCGACTGAACTCTTTTGCTACAACAATTTAAACTAACTTGTTCAATTCCCAGAACTCAAATCTTCCTTCATCCACCCCCATGGAGCAGTCCCCAAGCCCACACTCTGCTCAGTCCTTCAGCTTTGCAGACGTCTTCCCTGGCGGAAACGAGCTCGAAATCCCTCTCAGTCATCCTTTCGACTCGGTCTACGAGTTCTCGCCGCCAAGTCCCTATAGCGCTACCAGCGTCCCAGACCTCTACGCTTTGAACACCTCCTACAGCGTCCCCATCCCATCCTACTCCTCGTCCTACGAGACCCAGTTTGCATTCACTCCGAGCTTCGAAGAATCGTTGCTCACTCAATACTCGCTCAGCACCAGCGCTTCCTCGTCCGACTCCCCTAAGTAAGCACCCGGTTTTGCAATACGCTCCCTTGACTGGATCCAGCACCTAACTAACTCTGGACCTCCAGATCATCCAAACCCTATGCGTGCGAAGACTGCGGAAAGGCCTTCACCCGCTCCGCTGACCTCAAACGGCACCAGACCAGTGTCCACTACCCGGTCTACCAGGATTGCCCCGTGGAGCACTGCCCGCGGAAGGATCGCAATGGCTTCCCGCGGCGAGACCATCTCATTGAGCATCTTCGTTCGTCCCATCACATGGATCTGCCAAAGCGCCGGATGACGAAGCGAGTCCCTAAGGCGTCTGCCTGACCTTTTCTTGTCTGTCTTTGTTCATGCTTATCTCTATGATTGATGCCGGTTCTAGACATGTACGATTCTATTGATTCTCCATTCCCGTTTCTCGCTTCCTAGCATCCTTTCTTTGGCAATTGCTACTTTGTTTTTCCTTTCGATGTTATTCTCATATTTTACATTTGTTGGTTTGACGATGCAACGAACATGAGGTATAGAGGCGTTCGGAGCCAGATAAAGGCATGTGTCGTTTCATTATAGCTACTCTGTTTGTTTCCTGCCCTGGATGACAGAACAGGTTGGACGGACATGTCAAGGCTACCATGTGTGATGATTTCTTTTCTTGCATCTGTGATTCATGATAGACTGGACGGCGAATGGCTGCTTTTCATTGACTTTGACTTGTTGTATTATGTTTCACTTATACATCTCCCTTATGGTGTTCATATCTGGATTTATAGATCGATGCACTTGATCATATTACTGAAACACAATAACATATATTCTTGTTAATTGACACTGCAAGTATAGACTCTCTGGCCGAAATGTTCCGTCAATTGAGAACCAGCGAAAAGGGAACCCCTCATTGAAAACGATTGATGTCACCCTAGCAAGACATAAACATAAGTTGAATCTACTCGCGGAGGAACAGATCTATGATATGCTCATGCTGGCATACGGTTCATTAGCTGTGCCTTTTTGTGTGTAACATATCGACTGGGATTCAGCTGCGGTGTCTCGTGTCCGGCAGCTCGCCCAGAGTCCGCTGCAGGCTTCTTTATGAAGAAGGAATTGTGGTTTCCATTTGGATCATATTTGATTCCTCGGATCTTTCGCCATAGAAGGAATAAGCCATTTCTTCGGGTTCGCTGGAAAGCCTTCCAAGTCTCTCAAAGGCAAGAATGGCATCACTAAGGTCGGAATACTGGACATTTTTAGCCTCTGGGTTAATCCCTGGTGTGCCTGTTTGTAGCCCTGGGTGGGGTGGCATTTTGGCAGGAGAAACTCGGAGTTGTGGAAAAAGTCACTGTGTAAATGGTTCTGCTCTTGTTAAAGTCCTGCATGGCCTTGAATATTTGAGTATCTCCAAGCCCTGGACACAGTTATCCAGTTGGTTGACGAGTCTAATCGAGGATGCCACCTAGTCTGAGCTGCACGACATGCTCACACCCTATTAAGGTGCATGAATGAGGGCGCCGAAGACGAGACCCAGTTGTGAGAAGGCATGGTGTTTGGGTGTTTGGATGCACCTGGTTAGGACGGCGTGTAGTTCAGCCACAGTCTCATGTTGCTTTGGTGACGTTTATTGCGAGCTTGGTGAAGTAATCTTTACCAAGCCACTGCAAGCAGCCAATGTACAGTGCAGTTCTTTTCCAAAAGTTTGCGAGCACCCCCTGCGTCGGATATGGTTCTCACGAACCATACCATCAGACTGTTGATCTTTCAGATTGTTGCTCCTGTACTCAGCCGTTCGTGGAGTAGCTGACAGGCCTGAGTATGCCTCAGACAACGTCATTATCTATGTTAATATCAGCTCTTCAAGTATCTCCCATCCTGTAAGCAGATGGATTTTTCAAGGATTTATGCAGCCCTGATAGCCTGCCTCGGCCACGTTGTGTCATGAAAGGCACAATGCAGCAGATTGAACTCTTCCTAGCGTTTTCTCTGCAATTCAATCGAAGGGAAGATGATGCATTCCGAGGAAAATGAGAGACTCAGGCTGGTTCGTCGGTTGTCGGATCGCTCCTTCGGTTCGCCGGTGGCACCAGTTACCCAATAGGTTTCACGACGTTATTCATCAACTTTACCAAACTCTTATCACGGCGGCCAGTCTATGTTGGAATGCAACTAGAGCTGTTAGCCCTCAGCCACCATAAAGCAGAGTACGCGTACCCTTTTTATCTGCCATTCTAATAAACTCAAGGTAGAGATGCATGGGTTCGTTTTGAACTAACGAGTAAATCGTGTTCGAGGATGGGTTCGCCAGCCGCCTTCATGTTTGCTAGCACGGACTGGCGAAAGCGCCAGCGGAGCAATCCAACGACTTTAGGATGGCTTCATCAGGCCCATTGTGGCGTTCATAGCTGTCCATTCTCTCAGTTTCTTCCGGAGACGACTCTCCTGATGGAGTAGAGAGAAAGAACAGTTATATGTCCTATACGTTAGAGAGCTCGGCCAGGGTGAATCGTGGGAAATCCCATCAAGGCCAGTCTCTAGAATAAGTTTGTGGCCTGGTTGGACCCTAGCCTCGTCGGTAATAAGGCGACTGATACCATTCCTTCTCTCCTGGAGTATTCCGAGAGGTCCATAGATGATGCCTGTTGTTTCATGATCAGAAAATTCTGGTTAATGGCATGCCCTTGATGTGTTTGCCAATAGACTCCAACGTCCAGTTTCCCTATCCCATCACACTAATCAAGCGGCCAATTGCAAACAGCATCATGCCGTTTCTGAAGCTCTTCTCTGTAACAATTGGTATTGCATCAATACCGAAGCTCTCAATATTTTCTTTCAAGGACTATTGAGTCTGTCTCAAATTCATTCCCCCAAGCTGCATTACAATAGCCTCCAGTCACGGTTAGATGCGAAACCTCGAACGATTCAATAACTCGAATTTGCTTTCCGTGTCGGAGCATCAAGCACAAGAGATTGAAGCGAAGCATTGCCTTTTAGCACCACACAAGGCACAATGATGAGTAGGTGCCATTCCTATGCTGCATGTTAGTACATTCAAGATTGACTGAGCAAAACAAAGTAGGTGTTAAGGACATACAGGGATCTCACAAAGACACAGTGGTCAAGTTGAGCATTAGCCATCTGTTCGGGCCTCCGTGCTGGCTCGGCTGAGGTCCAATTGAATGCAAGACATGCAAGACTGCATCAAAGGAAACGACTCCGAGTACCAGCCGGTGCTGGGGCTAGAGACGACAGGAAGAAGTCCACTAGGTCAATCGGGCTCCAGAATGGTAGCCCATTATGCCATATTTTCTCCACCTTGAACCTGACTACTTGGACCGGCTCCGTCCTCTCTTCCCGCGCCGTGCCTTACAAGCGAGAGTTGTAACGACAATTTGTTCGTCTTTCGCAGCGCGTTCGCCTTCGGCAATAAAGCGTCTTGTTATCTCAACCCGGATGCTGTCATGCGGGTTCCTCCTGTCGCCAAGGTTGTACCGGTTCGTTTCTGTTTAAGGTGTCGTGATGCAGTCAGGCCAGGTGAAGGGCCTTTATGGCCTCATTGCGGACTGCTCTTGATGTCTGTTCTTAATAATGAGCAATTATGAACTTTCTCCTAGAGAGATAGTATGGAGCATGCTCTCGCCGAACATAGCAACAGCAATATCAGACTCCAAGTATGGAGCTGCGAGGTCTTAGGTCTTAATGCCATAGGTGGTATTTGCCCCTCTGGGAATGAGATTCACCTTATCATGGATAGTGTATGCAGGGTTATCAATAGCTTCAACAGTGTCATCGAACCGGCCAATCTAGAATAGACTTTAATGGGACCTATTACCTCTAAAAAGGCTTAAATCATAGTTAGTTATAAGTTACGATTATTACCTCACAGCTGAGATGCTTACCTACAGTTCCGTCTTCGTCGAGATGGAACCTCTCACAGAGATGGGACTGGTTTTCCAGCTCATTCTGGGAGCAAGGGGGATTCCCTTCGCTTGTTCCATTGGGGTGGATATACCAGTTTGCCATCCGGTACCGTATTCTGCGAGTAGAACTCCTCGTACTCTCTGTCGTCCTCTTTTTGGGCCTCGAGGTCCGATCTCCACCACCCATTCTGAGCGAGCAGCTGGGACTCCTGCCTGTCGTTCTTCATCAGTTAGAACATAGTCAAGCTGACTATTGGGAAAGGAGCAACAAACTTTCTGTATTCTATTCAGCATCCCCATCACTCATCTTCGTTGTCTCCTTCGAAGTTGCCATTATGTTGCTCCCCGGCGATACTCGACTGCTATCAATCCATGGATACTCAGTCATATCCATCTTATCAAATGATAGGAGCCATACATAAATGCTGACGCCGGAACGCATATCCGGAAGGTTGATATAAGAAGTAGTCAAGGCGACTACGCCGAACAGACAACCGATCAAGAGCAGGAGGTAATATCCATTCACTCAGCAACGGCATAGCATTCATAATACACATCCAGATCATTCAATAGACTCAACTATCTTCACTATCAGCATCATACCCCAAACATCACATTCACTACACCTACTTTCCACTCCCCAAATCCACAAACCCCCGAAAGCACTCCCCCTGCGCCCTCCCACCCTCATCAAACACCACTCCTTCCCCCTCCAACAACCGTCTCTTCTCAACCTGATACTTCCCACCCAAGATCCACTCCCCCTTATAACCGCCCAACGTCCCATTCGTCGCCAGCACCCGATGACAGGGCACTTCCGGCGCAAACGGGTTCGTGCGCATTGCATTTCCCACGGCCCGTGCGCTGGAGCCTAGATGTGTCGCGAGCGCCGAGTAAGTGGTCCAGCGGCCTTCCGGCACGGAGAGGAGGGTGCGGTAGACGCGGCGGCGGTAAGGGGTTAGGGTTGGATGGAGGGAGATGCGGTGGAGGAATTTCTTGGTTTGGGGGGTGAGGGATATGCATTTTTGTGAGGGGGGTGTTGGTGTGGGTTGGGACGGGGATTGCTTGGTTTTTGTGAGAGATGCCATAGTCATTCTTGGGTGGTTATTCAATATGCACCACCGAGCTCTCTTCTGCAAGTAATGTATAACAGTGACTTGACCTTTGCAGAGGTGGATCGTAAGTGATCATACAAGGACCTATATCTTTCATTAATAATGAACTTTATCAGTTGAATCTTGAGACTCACTTAGTCTAGTTGTCCTGGTTAGTTATGTAGTTTAAGAAGAGAGTGGAAACGGTTACGCGACTTGGTTTATATGAGACTGTTTGGGTGGCTCAAGCCGTTGTTCTCAATGTAGCAAATCAGAGTCCTCCTGTCGGGCCACGATATGAGCCACTGCAGAGGGCCGACATAACACTCACTGCAAGGAAACTCAACGAGCTCCTTACATAGTAATAAAAACTGCTGTAGAGCCTGAGTATACTTTTACAACATTTTGAAGCTTAAGCTCAAATGGTATCTCGGACATCAAAAGTGCTGCCCTGACTAGGGAGACGAGTTGTCACGTGACCTCAATTGGACATTTATGGAACTGGAGTCTATTCTCAATGAAGAATGGGAGTTACGATGATATGTCTTTTCGTCATAAATTCTCTAGTAGACAACACAACCAACATAGGAAAAATAATAAGGCGAAATGCTACATGTGGTTCGCTAGCGTGGCTAGGCTAGAGGAGAAAATACAGGGCGGCGGAGCAAGAGGATTTCAGGGAGTTTAGAAGTGGATGGCCTTGGAGTAGGTGGCCATGGCAGCCTCCTTGAAGGCCTCGGCCAGGGTAGGGTGAGCGTGGCATGTGCGGGCAATATCCTCGCAAGAAGCACCGTATTCGACGGCCAGAGTGGCCTCAGCAATCATCTCACCAGCGTTGGGACCGATGATGTGGACACCGAGAATGCGGTCGGTCTCAGCATCGGCGATGAACTTAACCTGGCCCTCAGTGTCGAGGTTGGTCTTGGCACGAGAGTTGGCGCTGAAGGGGAAGGTACCGACGCGGTACTTGATGCCAGCGGCCTTGACCTCGGCCTCGTTCTGGCCAACCCAGGCGACTTCGGGGTGGGTGTACATGACGCTGGGGATGGCAGCGTAGTTGACGTGGCCGTGACCCTTCTTAATGTACTCGACAGCAGCAACGGCCTCTTCCTCGGCCTTGTGGGCGAGCATGGGACCGAAGGTGCAGTCACCGATGACACGGATGTGGGGAAGCTTGGTGCGGTACTCCTGGTCGATCACAAGGCGGCCTCTCTCATCCTTGTCAATTCCAATGTTCTCCAGACCCAGCCCTTCGGTGTAGGGTCTGCGGCCGATGGCAACCAAAACAACATCAGCATCCAGAGTCTCCTCCTTTCCACCCTTGGCGGCCTCAACGCTCAGCTTGACGGTCGCGCCGCTGTCATCACCTTTGGTGACCTTGGTGTTGGTCTTGAACTTGATACCCTGCTTCTGCAAAATCTTCTGGGCCTGCTTGGCGATGTCGGCGTCCATACCAGGTCCACCAATCTGGCCAAGGAATTCAACAACGGTAACTTCGGCACCGAGACGGGACCAAACGGAAGCCTGTGTTTCAGAGACAATCAGTACGAGGAAAATTCAAAGTCGTTCGAATTTTTGTCATCAGGTTCACGTACCATCTCCAAACCAATGATACCACCGCCAATGACAACCATCTTCTTGGGGACCTCCTTCAGGGAAAGAGCGCCGGTGCTGGTGATGATTCTCTTCTCATCAATGTTCAGGCCAGGGAAAGGAGTGGCCTCACTTCCGGTGGCAATGAGAATGTTCTTTCCGCGCAGAGTCTGTTCACCACCATCGAGCAGGTTCACCTTGACGGTGTGCTGGTCGACAAAAGCACCGGTACCCTTGACGTAGTCGACGCCGTTCTTCTTGAACAGGAACTCGATACCTTTTGTGAGACCATCCACGGAGGTGTCCTTGGCCTTCATCATCTGCTCGAGGTTCAACTTGACATCACCGACCTCAATACCGCGCTTTTTTGTGTCATGAAGGACCTGGTGGTAGAGGTGGGAGTTGTTAAGCAGGGATTTCGAGGGAATGCAGCCGACGTTCAGGCAAGTACCACCGAGACGTCCACGCTTTTCGATACAAGCGGTCTACGCAACATCGAGAAATGTTAGCAAAGGGGTCAAAAATGCGCAAAGCGTATTCACATTCAGAAAGTGTCAAAACTCACCTTCAGACCTTCTTGGCCGGCCTTGATAGCAGCGACGTAACCAGCGACACCACCACCAATGATAACCACATCGTGCTCTGTGATATTGGAGTTCCAACAATCAGCCGCTGCCCTTTCTTCGGAAGCGCAGGCACCGTCTCACGGATGCCCCAGGGAACAATCAATCACTTACCAGTTTCAGAAGCATAGCCGCGTCTGAAGCGTCCATATACGGACAAAGAAGGAGCAGCAACGAAGCTAGAAGGGACAGGCTGAGGGCCGGAGGTGCGGAGGGCAGCGCGCGGTGTCGCCCGCGGCAACATACTCCGGAGCATTGTGTGCTGAATGTAGAGGAGAAAAAATACCAGGTATAAAGGAGATTAAAAGAGATAGCCAATCCTCCAGATCAAGAAACTGGGGAGGAATGGGAGGGCAGCAATTGGAGATGGCAGGCTAATAGTATAGGGAAAAGGATGTTGGGACGAGGAAAGCTTTCTTGAGGTTCTGGCAGCAAAAGCTGGCGGGCCGGTATTGATACGGTATTGGTCGCGTATGTAATCATCCGGACCAGTGAGCATCGGGTCAAATCGGCTATCTAATTCCATATTGCCGGCAAGTGATGCTTGATAATAAGGCTTCACGGACATCGGTGGGCAAGCAATATAGTATGCTGTATAATAGCGCAGACGTCTACGAGCTACGAGATCTTGTCAATGATCACAACTGTAAAGTAGATGGGAAACTATGAGGGTGTTGAGGTCGACATCAGATCGGTAATGCAGTATACCGGAACGGACTATTCCACACTCGTCGGCGGTAAAGGTGGATAAGGTCTCTTTAAGCCTGCGGAAAAGCATCACCATCACCACGATCCCCGGACTCAGGTGGTCGAAAGCGTCGGCCGTCGCCGAAGATGATCTAATTCAAGGGAAACAGGCTCAATATTATGCTTGCAAATGGTTGTCTGCCATCAGATCCTCAGAAGTAGCGTGTCACCCTCGAAATTACGATGGTCTCCGCGGGTAACGTAAAGTAATGGCTACCGTCGGCGTTCAGAGGAAAACCTGCATGATATACGCTCATTCTGCAGGTGAAAGGATGTAGTTATCCAAAGCTCAATATCTGGCTGCCATTATTTCGGACCCCTCGAGAGGCAAGTCCAGTTTCTAAGCGCCAGCTATCGTAGATGGAGCGTATATCCATCTGGAGTTAGTAATCAGAAGTCCTCACCTCCAGGGATGAAGCAGGACAATCATAACATTTTGAACCAGAAGATTGATGGGGCGGATGAATCGCTCGGGCTTACTGCCCTCACAATATATCGACCTTTACGGTGTAGGCCCTACTCAGCAAAGTCCAGATTCGCGTGCGCCATAGATGTTGAGGCGTCACTTAGCAATTGTTCCGAACATTATCGGATCTGAGCTTCAGACTGACTGCGCACCTGTGAACCATTGGACAACAAGAAGAAGGTGGCTAGCGTCCTGAAAACATCAGTCACGACTGGGAAACGGTCATATTTAACTGCTCCAAGTTCTGTAGGATCGATCCATAAATGTGCCATGGAGATCTGTAGTCCATAGCCGAATGGATCCTCGTATAACCCTTGTTCTAGACTTGGTGCTGGAGTAGTCTGGTTGTGTCTTGTCTCTGCCAGCAGATGAAGAAGCATTGTTCCTCAGGCTCCAATGCTATTTGCGTCTGGCCCAAGATCCCCAAATCTCCTATCTCCATTATATTTTTTATCGACTTGGCTGGCTTGAAAGAGAAAATCTCATCAAAGGATTGCTTCTATTCTCTTCTACATCCTTGGCATCGTCATTGTCCGAATCAATAGCATGAGGTCCTCTCAAGCATCCCGAACAGGCATTCCCAGGCTCACTGTCGGGCGATTTCCGACTCTCCACCCAACGACCCCAGAATTTCCCTCTGTGCTCCCCGCAACGCCGACTCCATCCCGACTCGCCAACACCATTGGATCGAACGTGTCTTTGGCCCAGATGGAATAAGTCATCAAACTTTCCAAGGAAATGATGGCCAAAAAAAAAAAAAAACCTCGTGTGAGCCCGTATAGACCACCTATCTACAGGCTACAACGGCCGAACGGTTCCCATTCACCGAGTGTGCCTCAGAAGGGATCTTCATCAGGGTATCACACTGACAGCAGCCGCTCTATGCTTCCAATGGAAAAGTGCAGATTTCATCGGAGCTCTCAGCCTTTTGTCGAATGATACATTGCGCCATCCATATTAACGACGCAGATTGGACTTGGCTCCAAAGTCCCTGAATCTGCATCAGACTCCTCCCCGAACGCCTCCCGCTCCAGTGACCGGATGCGACCATCATCTGGCGCATCTGGCCGCTGCCACATGCCCGGATTACCGATTTTGTTCAGCCATCTTTTGCCGGTCTATCTCCAAAATCACATCAACCAGGTTCCCATACCGACGAGTCATAGTGCGTTTTTCATCCTCCGAGTGGGGAATACGACTCCTTCGACCATCTTTTCCTAGTCGACCCCAGGAACCAGACTTCTCCCACTCGGGATGTAACCAAATTAGTTATCCTATAGAGAACTATACTCCAATTGTTTGGTCGGACCTCAGCCGATCATCACTAGGATGATCGTCCTCCGCCGTCTTTTGCAGACCTGCACATTTAAATGCTGTCTACCACCCCACAGAAAAGAGGATCTCTCGGATAATTGTGATCTCTCGTCGTCCACTCTCCTACGGTGTGTTCATGCTGGAGTGCTCATCGGCCCTCAGGCTATCTTAAGCACTTGAACCGTGGTCGGAAGCACCTATTGACTACAGCTCTTGAGGCGTCTGTCACTTCACTTGCAACTCTGCTGAGTCCCTAAAATACCCTACCGTCAAAATGAGTGACCAAATATCATCATGGAATATTGTACACAAGCTGGAGAAAAAGAAGCTCCTGATTGCGATCAATTGTGTTGCTGCTTTGTCAATCCTCTTCTTTGGTTAGTCTGCCGTATAGCATCATTAACGCCTTTACTGATCAGATATTCAGGTTATGACCAGGGAATGATGGGCGGAGTAAACAACGCCAAAGACTACATTGATCTGATGGGCTTTGGTTACACCGAGATGAAAGATGGCCAGCCTACTCCAGTTGTCACAAATAGCTTGTTACAGGGAGGAATTGTCTCCGTCTACTATCTCGGAACGCTCTGCGGGTGCCTCCTTGGTGGATGGATCGGAGACTCTATCGGTAGAATCAAGACTATTGCTTCGGGCGCTGTGTGGGCCATATTTGGCGCCGCATTGCAATGCTCAGCACAAAATCACAACTGGATGATCTGCGGTAAGGCTTCATTCTTAACATCAACTGATAACTTCGCAGTGACTGACCAAACTCAGCCCGCTTCATCAACGGGATTGGCACCGGTATTCTGAACGCAATCGTGCCGGTCTGGGCTACAGAGACTGCTGAACACACTTCTCGTGGACAGTTCATTGCCATCGAGTTTACCCTCAATATTTTCGGTGTCGTTTTGGCGTACTGGCTGGAATTGTGGGTGCCCTTCTCCTCTCCCACTTCGTCTGAAGAAGTCGTTTCTAATAAGTAATAGTGGTCTATCTTTCATCGATGGCGGAAGATCTCCGTTCCGTTGGAGATTCCCAATCGCCTTTCAGATCGTCTTCCTGATCGTGTTATTAGCAGCTGTCTGGTTCTTCCCCGAGTCCCCAAGATGGCTAGTCAAGGTTGGACGAGAGCAGGAAGCGCGCTACATCCTCGGTCGTCTCCGTGGCAGCAGTGGCGATGACGCAGTCCGAGCCGAAGCCGAGTTCCGTGATATCCAAAGCGTGGCGGAGCTCGAGAAGACGATAAACCATAGCAATTCCTACCTTTCCATGCTTTTCGGCTACAAGAGCGGGAAGTTGCACCTGGGACGCCGTGTGCAACTGGTCATCTGGCTGCAGATTATGCAGGAATGGGTTGGAATCGCTGGTGTCACAGTCTGTATGTCATTGCTGCCAAGGTCAAACCCTTGTATATGATTCCAGCCTGACTGATGTGTCCAGATGCCCCGACAATTTTCAGCATTGCCGGGTTCGATTCGATGAAAAGCCAGTGGATTAGCGGTCTGAACAACATTTTCTACATGGTGCGTCCCCGTCATCCAAAACTTCAGACTTTGTCTAATTGCGATTCTACAGTTCGCGACACTTATTTGTGTCTTCACCCTCGATCGTATCGGGCGTAGGTGGACCCTCTACTGGGGATCTGTCGCCCAAGGAATCGCCATGTTTCTTGCAGGAGGCTTCTCCAGGCTCGCAATCAACGCTAGGGAGGCCGGAGATGTGAGCAAAGCAAGCTCATACGGTGCGGCCGCCGCATCGATGATCTTCATCTTCACCTCGGTCTTCGGCGCCACATGGCTCACTGGTACTTTCAACCTTCTAGTCTTCACTCACTCAACTTCCGCTAACTCTCACCAGTCCCCTGGATCTACCCCGCAGAAATCTTCCCTCTAGCCGTCCGCGCCCGAGGAAACGCCTGGGGTGTGGTAGGATGGAGTATCGGAAACGGCTGGCTGGTAAGCATCCACAACCCCTCTTTCACGGAATATCAAACTGAGACATTCATAGACCCTCCTTTGCCCGGTGATGTTTAGCTCCATCGGCGAAAAGACCCTGTACATCTTTGCCATTAGCAACGTCATCACGATCCCCATGGTCTGGGCTCTGTACCCGGAAAGTAACCAGCGGACGCTGGAGGACATGGATCTGCTTTTCGCGGCGGACACGCCCTGGGTGTGGGATGCGGAGCGGACCTTTGCGCGCCTCAAGGCTGAGAACCCTGGGTATATTGAGACTGCCGGCCGGAAGAACAGTCTCCTGGATTCTGAGGCTGGTGTCAGTAAGCCCGCTGCTCAAACAACCCAGCATGAGGAAAATGTTTCGTCTGAGTAGCAACCTTCTGGAATGGGGACTTTGGCCGGGATGATGCACGTCGGCTTATGAGTACAAGATAACGGTCATGCAATGGATGGTTCTGACTCGTCTCAAGAACCCAGCGCTTTTATACCCCATTGAACGAATAAATGTCAATTAACGCGGAAATAAAATGGATATTTCAAAAGACAGAGCGTCAAGTTCAAGATAAGGACTATCTCCTACAAACACATCCCACCCTTCCCCTACCCACGCACATCAACCCACCCGGCAACGGAGGCCCATACGGCCGCCGACACAGACACCCCCGTGTCAAACCGCGACAACCCCGATACCCACCACTGTGAGCACGGGTCTCAGTTCCATACGAATGACTGCAAGTGCAAGATTGACTAGTCTCCCTTGCTCCGTCATAATGCGTAGAGTGCGTCAATTGCTGATGGTGATGGTGATGATGGTGCCTGTGCTGCTGGATGTGGCCGTGACTGTGACAGGTAAGATGGGGCGGATAGCCTTCAAAGGAGTGGGATTGAGCTGTGCAGTTGCAATGGCTTGTGCTGGTGGTTTGTTGGTGATAGTGGTGGTCGTGCATTCCGTCGGCTAGAGCATGGGCATGGTTGAGGCTGTAGGCCAGTGTTCATATTAGTAAATATTGACGGTAGGGGGACTATCAAGGCCAGAGTGTGATGTACGCACATGTTCTGGCAGCCATGCCTAGCCCTTGCAGTGCCATGGCAACAAGCTCCAATGCCTCGGTGAATATGGGAGCCGAACGTCGAAGAGTCCGTGTCCCTGTCGTCGGTGGTGACCTCGCAATCTTGCCCGCCAATATATGTGTTATACCGATAAGCATTGCAATCGTTGCCGGTTGGCTGCTCAACGGTGTGTCGATGCACATGTTTAGACCAGCTGGATGAACGGATAGCCATTACAGAGAATCAGTGAACGGTATGGATGGAGAACAAGCCAACTGGATGGGAGACGAGGTTTGGAAACGTTCGGTGTTGGCACTCAGCGCTGGGAGCTACAACTACTTAAATGCCGGTGCACTACTTTGGCCGATAGAATTCAACTTCAGAGGGAAGCGTAACCCTTCACGCGATCATGATAGCGACTGTGCCCGACAGGACTCGTCGTACAAAGTATGGGCTGCTGTGCAACATCGGATGTAGTTCGCCAGCCTAGCCCTCATCTCGTACACGGCAGAAGAAGCCTTTTCGAAAGCGAGGTTGCACTACGTGAGGCTCTTCCTGGCTCTATTCAAAAGCAGGTGATTGCTGTAGCGAATCCGATGTCGATTCGGAAATGTTGTGCTACCGACTTGATTTTCTTGAGGGTTGTCAAGGTGTCACAAAGAAGGATAGTAGCACAGCCGGACGGCGCGCTCTATGACCATACAAATGCGCCAAATGCAGTAGGTTAGGTTACTAGGGTCTAGCTGTCGCAAGTCGTCTAGATCACTCTTCAATCAATGTTGAGAATATGACCAGACGACGTCGGGAGAATTTTGCTGTAGCTCATCGAAGGAGCAAAGGGCCGGATCCACTCTTTCAAAACTGTTCGAAAGGTGTCACAGACAGCATCCACAGCCTGCGCATGAGAAGCACCGCAGCTTTCGATGTAGACTAAGAGAGTGAATTAGCAATGCTTTGCACATGTTCCTGTTGTGGAAATTACCCTTGACTTTTGGTTCTGTGCCAGAGCCACGGATGGTGAACCGAACATCTCGGTCCAGCCATATGGTCAACATCTGACTACTTTTATCAATTGGCAGTGCTGGCTTCTGATCCTCAGTGCCTGAATCATAGCCCTCTGTCATGTCTCTCCATCTCAAGATCTTGAATGAACCAAGGGATTTTTGTGTTCGGTAAGGCCCGTTCCTGATGGCTCCGAAAAGGCTTTTTGTGATTTCCGGGCTAGGTGATCGGAAGTAATTATTGAGCGTTTCAAAGTACCCAAAGTCCTTGAACAGCTGCTGTAGTTTCGAATAAGGGGTGAGGCCCTGAGATCTCCATCGAGCTTCCGCTGCTAGGAAAACCATAGCAGCAGTCACGCCGTCCTTGTCGTGGCACACATCTGGGAACATGTACCCCAGGGCTTCCTCGAAAGCAAAAGGTACATGGTACCCTGCCTCTTCCAGTCTCCGGGCAATATTTCCCATCCACTTGAATCCAGTCAATGTTTCCTCAAAGTGGAAGCCCTTTGACCTTGCCATCTTCTCGAGCATGTCTGTGGAGACCGCGGAGTTCAACACAGCTATGCGTGATTTGTCATTTCGACCTTCAAGCGAATCAAACAGATGCGATGCCAGTAGAACGCCAAGGTGGTTCCCCGTGAAGGTGAACCAAGAACCGCTACTCCACAATTAGTGATTATCTCCAGGAATATAGAAACGCCCTTCGCATGTCATGTCGACTTACTCAACTTTCTCGGCAGCAGCAAACCGATCTGCATCAGGGTCATTAGCAATAATGAGCGTTTTGCCCTCTTTATCAGCTGATTGCATGGCCAAGTCCAGGGATCCATTCTCCTCCGGGTTTGGGAATGAGACTGTTGGGAAATCAGGGTTCGGTTCCACTTGCTCTGTTACAGCGGCGAAGTCGGTTATTCCAACCGAGCGGCATAGCTCAGGAAGAATCAGACCTCCGACCCCATGCAAAGGAGTATACATGAATGGACACGGGCTTGACCAGCTGGGGACGGTGGATTTCTAGGCACGCTATTAGTCAATTATCCCGAATGAGGGTGGCATGATTCTCACAGCATAGTTCCAAACCGCCTCGGTATATCGAGGCAGAATCGTCTGAAGAGCTTCAGCATGGAGATACTCCGCGGCTTCTAGGCTGTTCCAAGCATTTGGCCACGGTTCTAGGTTGCTGTCAATGGATTGTGCTATCTCAACATCCATGGGCGTGTTGATCTGAGCGCCGTTCTTGAAATACCTAGTCCAGCAGTCAGCGTCGTCCATTTGAAATCAAGGAAGCGTGAGCCGAACACTTTGTAACCTGTACGCAATTAGCAATCAGAACCGAGATGTAGGGAGTGCAATTCATACCGTTGTCTTGGGCTGGGTTCTGTCGACAAAATCAACTGTGTCAGACCTCTTTGCTCTTGTCACTGCGCGAATCGTGAGGAAACATACATGGCTTGCAGTGATCATGACGCCAGCCGCAGCTCGCAAATGCGTCACACCAAATGGTACTGATGGTGTCAAGGTGGACTCTGAATAATACCAGACTGGTATTCTCATCGCAATAAAGGCATTGGCTGCCAGAGCAGCAAATTTGGCAGAGTTGTGCCGAGCGTCATGGCCAATGACCACACCGTTCGGCGCAATGTCGGAGTGGTTGTCTCGAATGTATTTGGCCAACCCTTGCGATGCCTGAATGACGGTCAGGGAGTTCATGCAGGAAAACCCTGCCGCCATCCGACCACGAAGGCCGGCTGTTCCGAATTGAATGCCTGTACTTGTGTGGTTAGAAAAGGCGGCGGGTGCAGGAGACAAAGGAGCTTGTATCGTAGAATATACATACGCTGCCGAAGACGCAGCTCGAGCTCTGCAGTCGCTCCAGCCTCCTGTAGCTGCTCAATTTCAGCCCGCGTCTCGGGATTCTGCGTTTGAGATCAGCAATCTTTCATGGCATCATTGGAGCTACTTGCGAGCACGGAATCAACTTACTCGGTCCCACTCAAGCCATTTCTGAACCAGTAAAGAAAGAGGTTCCTACACAACACAGTATCACTGCAATCAGATATATATTTCGGCTACCTGTGAAGATTCCACTGAATTACCTCAATTGTAGATGTAGGAACGGACATGGTGGATCATACGATGGTGAATATGGACGGCGTAGACGGACGGATCGGATGAATAGAAAAGATAGTATGATAGGCCGATGGCTGAGTGTGGCTTTGAAATGGAATGGAATGGATGGATCATGGATGGGATGATGATCGCCAGTGCGATGGAGCACGTTTCATGTGCTTCTGTCGGCTTGTCCCCGCTTTGTGCCTGTTTGAGCAATCCACAGTCACCGCTTCCCGCCCCATAGCGACGCAGGCCGTTTCCGAGGTCTCCAGACTTGGACCTTCATTAAGGATCGTCCCTGTTGGTTTTCTTTTGCTTTTTCAATTCCTAGACAAGACGATGCTGGAGTCTATCCAGATTCGTACCCATTCCTGAGCTCGAGTCTATCGATCCAGCCTAAGACAACCTCGTGATGGCCCAGACACAGGAAGCGGCCGGTACGCCGGGCTCCAGGGCGCGAAAGGACGCAATCTTGTCACGGCGGTACATTGAGGGTCAAATCGCTGATGGCAAACATATCATCATTTTCGATGATCGAGTGCTCAAGGTCGATGCATGGATCAAGTTTCACCCCGGAGGAGACAAGTCTATTAAACACATGGTCGGACGGGATGCGACGGACGAAATCAATGCGTACGGTGACCGAGGAATTTAAAACGGTAGTGACCTGACGACTGACGTTCGCTTTTGTATAGGTTACATTCACCAGAGGCACGCCAGCGAATGCTGTCTTTCCAGATCGGTCGCATCCAGGGACCGTGGTTGAACTTTCTCCCTCCGATCCAGGGCGGGAAGTTCCGGCCATATCCAGGCGAGACATGCTCAAGCGACGAGGACAGCACGGATCAGGATATCTCACAGCCCCCTTCTCCAGTGTTTGATGCAGCAGACGCAGGAGACAAAGCACCAGGAGTCCGCCGCCGGAGGAAATCGACAACGACTTCGGATACATCAGTCTCAACCACTCCCACTGAAGGGTTCGAGCCGAAACCCTTCTTCCTTGATGCCCGAACTCAAGAAGAGATCGTCTTTGATGTCGCCAAGTACCCGTCCCTCGACACGGCGAACCAGGAAGAAATCAAGCGGAAATACCGCGAACTGAATGAGCGGATCCGCGCGGAAGGTCTTTACAATTGCAACTATTTCTCGTACTTTATTGAATGCTGTCGCTACACTCTTCTCGCTGCCCTGTCATATACCTTTCTTCGCTTAGGGTGGTATGTGATATCGGCCTTCTTTCTAGGGTGCTTCTGGCACCAGCTCGTTTTCACAGCCCATGATGCTGGCCATATGGGCATCACTCATCATTTTCACGTTGACTCGGTCATTGGCATCATCATTGCGGATTATTTAGGCGGCCTGAGCCTGGGCTGGTGGAAACGAAATCACAATGTCCACCATATCGTCACCAATGCTCCAGAGCATGACCCCGACATTGAGCACATGCCTTTCTTTGCCATATCACATCGCTTCTTGACGAGTCTCCGAAGCACGTACTATGACCGTATCATGCATTTTGACGCCATGGCGAATTTCATGTTGCGATATCAGAATTACCTCTACTATCCCATCCTCTTGTTTGGTCGGTTCAATCTCTACCGACTAAGCTGGGAATACCTGTTCTGCGGCCAAGCCCCAAAGAAGGGTCCTGCCTGGTGGCATCGCTGGTTCGAGATCGGAGGACAGGTATTCTTCTGGTATTGGTTCGGCTACGGTGTGCTATACCGCTCTATCCCAGACTGGAGCAGCCGGATAGCCTACATCCTGGTTTCTCACATGGTCACTGCTCCTCTGCATGTGCAGATCACGCTGTCCCATTTCGCCATGTCGACTGCCGATTTGGGTGTGCATGAATCATTTCCTCAAAAGATGCTGCGCACCACCATGGATGTCGACTGCCCTACATGGCTCGACTTCTTCCATGGTGGACTGCAGTTCCAGGCTATTCACCACCTCTACCCTCGCATTCCCCGTCACAACCTGCGTCGTACCCAGAAACTCGTGATCGACTTCTGTCGCGATACTGGCATACCCTACGCCGTTTTCACCTTTTATGACGGCAACAAGGAAGTGATTAGCAGACTTGGGGATGTCGCGAAGCAAGTCCGTATCCTTGAAGAATGCAGGAAGTCGTGCGCCGAACAGGGTGTTTTCTCAGATCATCATCACTGAAAGGGAGCTGTTGCTTGCTCACGGTTGAGCTCGTCATTCCGAAGCCAGATGTCCGGTTTCCTGAGTCCTATACTGTCACTGTACATTTTCCATCGTTGGCGGCTGTTTCGAGCTTGGGTTTGGCCCTGTGTGTTACGCTATGCTTGTGAGGCTCTTTTGAGCCACTTTGATGACCGTCATGCTTCTTGTATTTGACGCTGCTAGATAATGACATTAGAGCTGGCACTGGATTGCTAGCACTGTTGGAGCGAGCGCAAGCCAATCTGCCCTATTCTTCTTCATAGTTAGCATGGATGACTGAATTGATATTCTGTCGCTTAGACATGGTATGCATCCGTAACTACAGTCTATTAAGGGAAACACATCGTAAACTGTACAAAACGTGTAGTGTCTCTTTCGTATTTCTCGTAACAAATCAACCTGGCATGCCACCGCCCCGGGCAATTTTCCTGGCTCTCTGTTGGCGTCTATTGTGATTCGCCCTGCTAGCCTTATTTTCTTCCTTCCTTTGTCGAGCCACAGTGGGGTTCTGCTCTCCAGAAGCTCCAGCATTAGTCCCTCCTCTGCGAGCCCTCCCACCACCGCCACCTCTTCGACCACCGCGACCACGGCCCCGTCCGGGACCTCCTCTGCCACCAGAAGCGGAACTGGGCTGATCGGTGTCACTACCTGATTCACCATCCTCCCTAGGTCCAGGCTTCCTGTACGCCGTCGACGGCAGTTCAGGCTGCGCCAAGGCGCCGCCAGGAGCACCAGCCGACATCGCGAATCGGTCTTCCAACTTAGCCAAACGCTTTGGATCTCGGGCCAACATCACGCCCCAGCCCTCAATGGCCTCGTCGGTCATGCCGGTCTCGCGCTTGAGCGATGCCCGGGGTTGTGAGCGGCGCGTGGCAGAATCACGGGCGAAGAGGGCCGGGTCGGCCTTGTAGGTCTGGAAGAGGGTCATGTCGAGGTCCTCGGCTCTGCGGTTGCGGATATCGGCGTCTGCTTCGGCGTCTGTGACTGCGGTTAGGCCGTCGACTGTGCCACCTACGTCAGCGACGTCGTATGTGTCGTCGTGTTCGTCGTCGTCAGAGTCGAAGGCTGCCAGTGCGGACATGATGGCTGCTTTGTTGACGGCGTGCTGGCTGCGGTCGGCTAGGATGGCGTCCGCGGTGAGATCTGAGTCTCCGCGGCCGAAACGCAGTTTGCCTTGGCTGGCCTGGTCGGCTGAGCGGGCTAGTTCGGCGAGGTCGACGTCGTTGTCGAAGATGTTCTTGCGAGCAGGGGCCGGTGCGGGGGGCGATGGTATCTCTGGAGGAGTCGGGCGTGGGGGTAGAGGGTCGTGACGGGGTGTCGTTTCTGAGACGGGAAGTTGCTCGGATTGATCGAGTTCTTGAAGTTCAGGTGGTAGAGAGTCATCAAGAAGGTGTGCGACGACCGTCTCCGGGTTGTCGCCGTAGTGATCGAGCAATCTGACGATATACCCTGAGCCCAGATCAGGGAAGAGATCTTGCACCTGCGTCACGAGGGACATCTTGTGGACATGCATATTCTCGACAGTAGGAAGATCTGAAACACGGCCTTTGCCTTTGTCCGTCTTCTTCCTTTGCTTTTGATACCGGTGGTGGAATGCTTTCGACTCATTCCGATACGAACGCAAGCTGGATAGTAGATCTTCACCCCGTTTTTGCGGATGCACAATCAAGTACCTCTCCAGACGGGCTAATATATCTGAGCTGCAGATTAGATCTGAAAGTATTGTAGGCTCTCTCTTTGCCGTTGGAGTGCCCACCCCAGCGCTCGCTTTTAAGCTGAACAATTGATCCAGAAGCAACGATAAGTTGGGCTTGGCTCCTTTCAACAAAGAGGTCAAGCCAACATAGACGTTCGCAACAAGAACCTTGTGGAAATCAACTCTCCTCTCGGACTGATACGCATCAGAGAGAGTGTCTATGAAGTCAGAACCAGCCATAAGCACCTGGCCGCAAGGAGGAAGTGCAGAACACAATATCGTCAGCAAGCGGATGTCAGACGTTACTTCCAAATTCCCCGATGGGTTCGGTACTGAGAGTCGCTTGATAACTAAGGACTTTGCTTTCTCGAGACTGGATGTTATTGCCTCATGGTGTCTATCCCATGCTTCGGACAACAACCTCTTCAAAGCCGAGCTTGACGGATAACAACAGCACATAGCACCGAGAACATTCCATTCTAGCATTTCAGAAGGTGATGTAGGCGTCTCCAATAGAAGTCTCCTCGTCAACAAGAAACAACACTTCCGTAATGTTCGTGCCTTCGCCCCTGTCCGCAGCTCAGGCGCATTTGTCGTGGCGAGCTGTTGATAGAAAGACGATAAAAAGCCCCTTGTGTACTCATCTTTGGAGACAACTTCCTTAAATACTGAATCAGAAGCATCGATGCGTATCCCTAGGAGTAGAATCCATGCATCCAGAAATGACTCCCACTCTTCATGTGATATGCTCCTCTGTACTGCGGGCGGCGGGACTGGTGCGAGAGGTGGCAATTTTTCCATGATAGCGCCGCTCAAATATGTGCGTCAAGATAAAAGCAACAAGAGAAGAAAAGAGCTCAGATAAAGAAGAAGACACCAAATCTAATCATCACAATCATCAACGGCCGTCGCATAACCTGTCGTCATAATCTCCTTTTCCTAATACGGTTTCCGATGATTATGACAGATCGGATACTGAGTCGCTTTCCCAACTGGGACTAGCTCAAGATAGCCGAGTGCCAAGACAATCCGCCCGCACAAGAGACGCTAAAGACACGATCAAAAAAATGGATTCATACGTCTGTCGCATTTCACGATAGCTCTTCAACGGCCATCATCACCTTACCGAACCTCGAAGTTCAGGTCTTGATTGGCAACTAGCCTCATATAGGTATGATTCTTCTGGTTTTTCTTGAACGACGACTAATTGAATTGTGTGCGACAGCCATCTCGTCAATCCCGGTCAACCCACCGCACAATCAGCAAGATGTCTTTCCAGAAGCCTGAGAAGGAGTTCGGCGAGGGCCCCGTATGTTCTACTCATCTTGAAATCTGCGCTCACGACCTCAGTGAGACGAGCCACAATTGCGCATAACTAATCAATTCTTTTCCCGCGATTATAGAAGGTCCACAAGATCCGTATCACCCTCACCTCTCGCAAGGTCGCCTCTCTCGAGAAGGTGTGCTCTGAGCTGATCGACCGTGCCCGCTCCAAGTCCCTCCAGGTCAAGGGCCCTGTCCGTCTCCCTACCAAGACCCTCCACATCTCCACCCGTAAGACCCCTTGCGGTGAGGGTTCCAAGACCTGGGACAAGTACGAGATGCGCATCCACAAGCGTCTCATCGAGTAAGCTACCCTACTCGACCTTGTGATGGATCATGAGATCGCTAACGAGAACAATAGCCTCCTTGCCCCCACTGAGACCGTCAAGCAGATCATCATCAACATCGAGGCTGGTGTTGAGGTTGAGGTTACCATTGCCGCCTAGATGTTTTCCATCTAGTTGGGAACAGGGAGGGTTTGGTGTCAACTCTTAACTGGGATGGCACTAGCGCTGTGCTCGTTGGGCCGTTGAGTGGATTGTTATCTTCACGCCGGAAGGCTTCTACCGAGGCAATGTCGATACCCGTTAAAACCTGGAATCAAAAATTGGAAAAATTGCAAAACGAAGAGGTTTCATTCGTCTAATGGATTATCTGTCGTAGTCGAGCAAAACATAGTAAAAGTGTATTTTCGCGTCCGAGCCCAATGAAACTAACAGCGCCGCTCAACTCCCAGCATCAAACCCATAGCAAAAGTACGTGTAGTGCGATCGTTATGATAATCATATAATACATGAACGGCGCATATGTGCTTCGCTCCATAATAAAAAGGTCCACTAATAGATGTGATCAAAAATCGAAGCTCACCCACTCAGATTTGGGAGGCACGCTGGGTATAACGCCGTCTTTAAAGTAGCCATTCTTCAAGAAAAACTCATATTGCTCGGTGACTTCCGGTGTGTATTCTTCCGGTTTGCCGTGCGCATCTCTTAGGCTCGCTTGATCGGGCGGTCCATCCGGGAAAAAGATGCGAACATAGGTTTGACGGTCTTGAGGATGAAGATAGCAAGGGACGTTGTCAATGTACTTCACCGGTTGACCCTTCCACATTGATAATCTCTGCGTCATGGGGTCCTTGACCGTCTGCCCACTTAGAGGTGGAATCGGATTCAACTCATTCGGATCATCAATCTTGATCGCTGGGGGAGGGCCGGCGCCTGCGATCGGTGTAGGAGCAGGTGCTGCGGTTGTTGGAGCCGCTTGAGCCGCTTGGCCAAAACCTCCAGCAGGTTGACCGAAAGGTGACGGAGCTGCCTGTTGAGCCGCAGCACCGAAGGGGCTCGGGGCCGCAGCGGGTTGGCCAAAAGGAGCTGTTGGTGCTTGAGGCTGTCCGAAGGGCGATGGCGCCTGTACAGGCTGCCCAAAGGGCGTTGCTGACGTTTGTGTCGTTGTCGAAGGTTGGCCAAATCCAGCAGGTGCCGCAAGCTGTTGGCCACCAGCAGCTTGTGCAAACGGGGAGGTAGTCGCTGCTCCAGCAGCCTGAGCGAACCCGCCGCCTTGCCCCTGATTTTGACTCGATATCTGACCAAACGGAGATGTGGTACTTGGCTGACCGAATGCTCCTGTCCCTGTTCCTGGCGCTGACGGCTGGCCAAAAGCAGGCTGGCCAAAGCTTGGTTGACCGAATGCCGGTTTCCCGAATGCAGGTTGCCCAAGCGCTGAGGGCTTTCCAAACGGGGAACTTTGACCCAAAGCACTAGGTTGTCCAAAGCCAGGCGTTTGCCCTAGAGTAGAGGGTTGACCGAAGGCCGATGGTTGCCCAAATCCAGCCGGCTTGCCAAAGGCTGGGGCACCCGCGCCGCCTAATGCCGAAGGCTGGCCAAAGGCAGACGTTTGTGCCACGGCAGCCGGTTGACCAAACGAAGAAGGGCCTTGACCAGTAGCAGGGCCTGCCTTCCCC